TTCTGTCTTTTAACCTCAAAATGGAAAGTACAATAGAGACATACCATTAATTAAATCTGCAAGCAGCAATGAATGGGCCCTCGCACTCCACGCAACTCAGGGTGTGCTGCGTCACATGCCGGTGTAACATGTGCGGAACCCAACATGAAAATTTCACGTAAATCAGATCAAAATTGCCACGCAGCGCTTACTTCCAGTTGCCAGTAGGTGATGCTATCACTATGTCTGAATATTGTCATGTAGACGTGTTCAGGGCGGGACTGTTATCAAACATGAAGTTTCATTGAGATTGGATCATGTACACTGAAGTTATGACGACTTCCTTTTTCATGGCAAATCATCAAAATTCCACGTCATGCCACGGGCACACTGTTTGACGGAATGTCGTAAATAGCACAACTTTTAATCATGAATGTCTTTAGATGGCTGTGTCCAAATCTGAAGTCGATCCGATCAATTCCCTATGAGGAGTTCGTTCAAATATAACGTGTGCAAATCGCCAAAAATGGCTGCTAAATCCAAAATGGCAGACTTCCTGTTGGGTTTGGGATATGGCACCAACTGGCTTTTCTTGTACATCAGGATAAGATCTACCCGTGTGTCGATTTTTATGCGTATCGGTGAAAGGGGCCCCAGGTGGTACAGTTTATGGGCCCATTTTGCCATACTCATAGAATCCTTGCAATTACAATAGGGCATTCCCACGGTCAGTGCTCGGGCCCTAATTAGTCTCAGGAGTTTGTAAAACTCTCTTATTATGAAAATAAGAGACATTAAAATATAATTTCTATCTATTTCTTTCAGGCGCTGTTTCCAGACAGCCCATTTCTACGTGGAAGACAGCAATTCACCCAGAGTGGTAACCAATGAGACAATCCCTGTCATCACTATTCCAGGTAACAACCAACCACAGCACTTCTCACATTTATGATATCCATGCAAAACTGCTGGCCTGATGTGCTGGCCAGGGCAAGAGATTTCAGATGTATTTGTTTGTTTGTTTGTTTGTTTGACCACTTTTGCTGAAAGAATAACACTTCTGTTGACGAGCCCTGAAGCAAGGCACTGAGCCCTCAGTAGTCATACACTCTGGGGTTGTAGGTCAAGGCTATTCCTACAGCAGAGGTCAAAGGTCACAAGCCAGAATGAAGACCCTACTGGTCTTGTCTTCCAGTGACCAAACATTCTGGATAAGCAGCAATAATTCAAACTGGGGCTGGATACATGAGTGAACAAGGTACATACGTATCCGTGTTAGTCTAAGTAGATGGAACATAACTTACCAGTCTTTGGGAGCAGAGAAAGAGCAATATATGGGTTGGTCTATTCACTGTTCACATTTATATGTTCAAAGATAATGTCGTTCGCATGGGTGTGACCTTACAGTTAATTGAATACAATACAATACAATACAATATGGTCCAGTGTTTAGGATTTAGTGGCAGCAACAAAAACAAAACAATTCACTTTTCATGTGATTGTACAATTAAAATCAATGAAATCATACCTATGAATATTATATTCCATTTCTACCAATAGATCATCCTAAATGTTACACACTAGACCTTTAATTAGGGGAAAACCAATTGTGAGAATTGTTGAGAACAAGCTTTTTGTTTTATTTTGAAGATCTTTACACTATTTGTGCCTTCGGTCAATCACAAACTGTGTTGTATCAAAAAAATGTATGCTAGAGAGACAGACAGGCACCAATTGCAAAAAATCCACACAAATAACCTCTACAACGCTTGACAACTGCTCTCACTGTTCCAACTCTAGTCCTCAGGTCCGGGATTTGGATCCAAACCCGTCAAATCAATTAAAAACTTGTGGGGCCTCTTTACAATGGGCTTAGGCTGAGTCCAAAGTCCTCCACTCACACCAGGGCCAGTGTGCCCAGCATGGCAGACTCTAGCACAGTCAAAAAGGGGGTCTGCCATTGAGCCTCTGTTCCACCCTGAGCAGGAACACAGGCTCACTGAGCGCCTGCTTTGGATTCACATCACTGTGGTATGGTACGTATGATAACCACTGGAAGCTGTACAGACCCTCAAAGGCTAAAAATCAGAACAAAGCCCCACTGCTCACATGACAGCCACAGTGTGTGGACATCAGAGTCCACTGCAGCAAACAGGGATGTGTGTATGACCATATGTTAGCTGTGTTAATTGTCTCAATAAGCTCAGACCTAGAGCCTCGCACATCCCATAATCCTCTTTAAGACCTTCTGCTAGATTTAAAACCTGCATGCAGCAGCCACTTATTACAGAACCTTCCACTTAACACACACACACCCACACACACACACACACACACACACACACACACACACACACACATACATCCACAGACACATATATAATTATATATTATTCACAAATGCTTTTTTTAGGACGATGGGAAGATCAATATAAATGTATCAATATATTTGTAGTCAAACGCTGCATATTACATTTGTTTGACACATTAAAGGGTAACTCCACTGATTTTATACCATCAGAATGTGTTTCCAGGTGTACTGCTGCAACATAGAAAACATGGAATAAATAATTTTCATGTCCTCCTCCCGGCAGTCCAAAGCTTTTATGCTAGTAGCATAAACAAACCTACCCCCATCCTTTGAGCTCTTAGTCCAGGTAGAGTCAGCTAATAGTTCAGTAATTTTATTATAGTTTAGTTGAACATTTGGGGACAGCTCTACTGCATATGTGTAAAAAGTTGTAAAACAAACTCCTGAGAGAGCTGTGGGAGGTCTGATAAATGTCCTCAAGTGATGTCACTTGAGTCAGCATCAATTTGAGCTAAAGTTTTAGTTTCGTGAAACTTGCTAAATGATACATTGATACAGACCTAACTGATGATGGAAATGATTTTTAGTTGCAGCAGTTGTAGGGCACTTTACTGAGGGCTTTAGGTGTACTGATTTTAATTCTTTGAAGAAACCAGGTTGTTTTCTGCTGTTTTCTGCATGTATTCTGGGACAAAATAACAAATACATTAGATACTGCTCATGCAAAAGTGAGAGTGATTGGGTTCTGTCTGTAAAATAAGTTAAAGCAATAAAAAAAGATTGCTCTCTGACCCTCTCTTCTTAACACTCAGCAGCCTGCTGTGCTTACTGACACAAATAATTCTGAAATATTTGCATACCTAAATGAGCGTCTCGCAAGACACAAAGTGAGAGTGAGTTAATGTATGCTCGTATTAATATTTGATGAAGACTAAGCTGTAGGGAGCTGCAAGAGACTTTTTGCTGTTGTGTAATGTTTTGCATCCTCTTTACTGAACACGGGCTCCAATCATCTGGGCTGAGTTCAGCTCTTTATGATGCCGGTGTCTGAAGAATGACTACCACTTTGCAACTGCTTGTATACAAGTGTTTGCTGTCTGATGACACATGCACTCCTGTCCTGTGCTGTCCTGCTAAAATCCCCCACAAGCAACAGAACATCACAACAACAGAAAATGACTTATGCAAGCTTTCTTGTGTGTTTTTAATTGCTTAGCAGTGAAACTGAAACTTTACTGAGCTTGCATTATTCTTGGCAGAGACCATTCTCAGGAATGGATTTACTCAAAGCACCAATTAGAACTATAAATGCATGTATTAGCATTTGCCACTAACCTTAGCAATGTGATTCATTGCTTTGTCTCAATCTATTTCTATGCAGGATCTAGTGTTATTAACAAATACACTGAATAAGAATTCAGATTAATTTGCCTTGACATGTTTATATTCAAAACATATCCACATCAGCATTTATCATCATAACAAAAGCACACAACCTTTGCTCTTTTGTGGTTTAGTAAGGCTAAAGGACCAGTGTGTAGGATGTAATGGCATGTAGTGGTGAAGCAAATTGCAACAAACTTAAACCCATAGCCTCAATCAAACATAGGAGAAACTATGGTTGCTGCGAAACTCTCAAAAAACACAAAAGCCCCTATCCTGAGCCAATTTCTGGTTCTGGGCTACTGTAGAAACATGGCGGTTCTATATGGCAGACTCTGTAGAAGATAACACGCTCCCCCTGTATTCCATTTCTGCCAATAGTTCCTCCTAAATATTACACACTGGACCTTTAATAGGCACTTCTTGCAGGCAGGGGTAATTTCTAGGAGACTCTACAATACAGTCCATTAATTACAAGGAGAGTGAAAGTCTGAGTCTTAACCTTGGAAACAGTGGTTGACAAAACAATCTCACCTCAAAATCCAGTTTTATAGTTGTTATTGATTGTATAGCTGGAACTTGACATCACAACAGTGAATGGAGTTTGCCCAATTGTCATGACATTGTACATGTTTACATTTCCATTTGAGCACTTTAAGAACTGCTCATGTTGGATTAAAAGCAGGCAAAAGGTTCACAGAAAAAGCTACATTTCAAAGGTCAAAAATTAATCTTCTGCAAAGTGACATTTCCATTTTCATCCATTTGAACAGTACAATTTCATGGCAACTGGGGAGCTCCATTTGCTGTGTAAGATTGTGTGATGCAATTGAAATCGGAACATCTGCTAAATGGAGCAAATAACTCTCCTTCAGCCAGGCATCAGGTCTGACATACTTGCTGGGCTGTCATTGGTCCAGGCCATTTTTCTCCAACAACCAATTGGATAAATGGGCCACGTAGCTGCTGATATCTGAAACACTTTATATACTTGCTTACAAGGTTTAGGGGTTCAGATAGGTGAGTCACATCACAGATTTGTCTGCCGTACATGTGATGATGAGACATTTATCAGCTACCAGAATCTTTTAATGAAAAGTGAGCCTGTGAGTTGCTGTAGTAGTAGTGGTAGTCTGGCTTGGCAAGGTCATTTTTAATTTAATTCAATTCAATTCAATTCAATTCAGTTTTATTTGTATAGCGCCAATTCATAACAGAAGTTATCTCAGGACACAAAAATAGGGCAGGTCTAGACCGAACTCTTTATAACATTATTTACAGAGACCCAACAGTACCAGAGAGAGAGAAAGAGAGAGAGAGAGACAGAGAGAGAGACAAACAGACAGGTGTGCTATCTGTTTGTAACCCTAGACTGCTCTTTAAGGGTTGAATTGATTTGACAAAACAATGGCAATGGTCTGACTTAGCCTCGTCAAGGGCGGGTAAAATTTAGAAGTTGTTCAGTATCAGCAGTTGGGGGAGGGGTTCATGGTGTGCAATGCTCCAGGGCAAGCTACTGTTCCTGTGAAGCTGGTTTAACCCTGGTCTTGTCTCTTCTCTGCAGATGACATGGAAGCCATATCAGTCAAGCAGTTCATCAAACACATCTCTGAACTCTACTCAAATAACCAACATGGATTCTCTGAAGATTTTGAGGTAAGCTGTAAAGTCTTGTTTATTCAAACAGGATAATGTAAGCATGCTGAAATTGTTAGACCAGTAACTGATAGACACTTTTTACGTTACGTAGCAGCATTATTGATGTGTTGGATTTGCTGGGTTCGAATCGAAGTCAAATATTCACTTTCTTTTAGCTCTGTTTTTGGTCTCCACCAAGAAAATTATTTGGCTCTTTAGCTGCCAAATGCTCCTCTATCTTCACCAGTTAGAATCTAACAAGCACAGTTCTTTTACAGTAGTGTACAGTAAGTGTTAACAACTATTTCACTGCCTGCTGCAGCAACTCTAGTAGGCCTTTTCCACCAACCGGCTCCGTTTTGGTTCAGACGCCTAACTTTTAAACTGTTCAGAGCATTTCAACCAAAAAAGATTTTTTCTGAACCTAAAAAGTTGGTTCCCATCTGAAACCAAACAATAGCATAGTTAGTAGCATATTTCTACTGGTCGTCACAGGCACGCGGTTAAACGTACAGTCACAAATAGCACAACTTTTGATCAGCAATGTTTTTTAATTGTAATAAATTCCCTAGTAGGAGTTTGTTGAACTACAACGCAAAAAAACGTTAAAAATCACTGCAAAATGGTGGAAATGCTTGACATACGATTCAACCTGGCCAAATTTGACAGCACGCCACGGACATGCCCTTTAATGTACGTGCACAAATAGCACAACTTTTAATCAGCAACGTTTTTTGACTGTACTGACAAATTTTGAAGCAGATCCGATAAATTCCCTAAGAGGAGTTCTTTCAAATAAAACGCGAAAAGTTTGCCGAAAGTGAAAATCAAAATCAAAATGGCCGACTTCCCGTGGGGTTTGGGGTATGGGTCCAAGAGGCTTTGTTGTACATCTCGGCATGTTACACGTGCCTACCGAGATTCGTACATATCGGTGAAACGTGGCGCCAGGGCCGATTTTTCAAACACGATTTTTATATGTGACCTTCAGGCACCAGTCTACATGTGCCCTGTGAATTTCATATTCATAACTATTATGGTGTCCACACAGTGATTTACCCTGCCACCAGAGCACCACCCAGTGGTGTGATTTTTTTTTTTTCCTTTTTGGGTGAGTCACAGGGAGCCATGGGCAAGCATTCTTAAATCACACGTGCCGTTGCAGAGATATAAACTTCTTAATTTTAAAGAGCGCCACCTTGTGGTGATGGCCTGAAATTGTGCACATTGCCTAAGGAAGACGTGAGGAACTATGGACCCAAGTTTGGTGTCAATCGGACATACCAATGTGGAGAAATGGTCCACTTCCTACAGGAAGTGTTAATTTTATAGCATGCTTGTTTTTTTAAATTTTAAAAATGTTCAAATTACGTTTTTTGCCAGGGCGGTCCCCAGGTGCTAGGAGAAAAATTTCCTGTGAATCGGACATAGGGTGTAGGAGAAACACGAAAAAGTAGTTTAAGGACATTTCGCGCTCTAACGAAAAAAAAATTATAGGCGGAAGTGACCTATATGGGGAGATTCAGCTCCATTCACTGAACGTGTGGATACAAGGATTTTGAATGTGCGATAAACTATGCAGAAGTTATTAAGTAACCAAATGTCAAAATACTTTTCTCAATAGTAGCGCCACCTAGTGGCCGACCTGAAAGCAACGCATAGAATATAAAATTTTTCACCAGGCCTGATGACTTTGCCAAATAAAATGGAGTTTTCGTATACGTTCAGGGGGGCAAAAATGCAGTCAAAGGCGCTAAAAATAATAGGTAAGAATAAGAAACGAAGCAAAAACAATAGGGACCTCCAGCGGTCGCTGGCTTGGTCCCTAATAACTATAATAAGAAAACATTTGAAAGAAAACTTGTAATTTTTCCAATGTGAAGCTAATTGAGGCAGTTTTACAACTGGCATCTAGCGTCTATCACATCACATGGTACTAAAGACCAGCCAATAACAGACAGACAGCTCAGTATATTGCCTAATCTTTTCATGATGGTACAGTTTGTTTTGGGAACACACCTGCACATGTACACACTCGCTATCTGAGGCCCGGGCTATGATAAACTAACAAAGGAATATACAAGAGCCAGGTTACCAATTCAGTTCAATTCAATTCAATTTTATTTGTATAGCGCCAATTCATAACAGAAGTTATTTCAGGACACTTTTCAAATAGAGCAGGTCTAGACCGAACTCTTTATAACATTATTTACAGAGACCCAACAGTACCACCATGAGCAAGACCTTGGCGACAAGGGCAAGGAAAAACTGCCTGTTAAAAGGCAGAAACCTAGGACAGACCCTTCGGCTCTAGGTGGGTGGTCGTCTGTCTCGACCAGTTGGGGTGAAAGAGAGAGAGAGAGAGAGAGAGACAGACAGACAGACAGACAGACAGGTGCACAGCAACAACAGTATTGGCAGTGGCAGTCTAGCAGGACCATGGCAGGAGGCTCCACCAGGATCCATGAGAACCTGCGAGACGAGAAAGCACAAGAACTCCGGGGAAGAAGTGAAGTTAGTAACATGCATTAATGGGACATGAATGAGTGCAGAAAGAGAGAGGAAGAGAGGAGCTCAGTGCACCATGGGAAATCCCCCCGATAGTCTAGGCCTATAGCAGCATAACTAAGGGATGGTTCAGGACTCACCTGATCCAGCCCTAACTATAAGCTTTATCAAAGAGGAATGTCTTAAGCCTACTCTTGAATGTGGTGAGGGTGTCTGCCTCCCGAACCACAACTGGAAGCTGGTTCCACAGGAGAGGAGCTTGGTAACTGAAGGCTCTGGCTCCTGTTCTACTTTTAGAGACTATAGGAACCACAAGTAGCCCAGCATTCAGAGAACGTAGTGTTCTAGAGGGGTAATAGGGTACTATGAGCTCTTTAAGATATGAAGGGGCCTGACCATGAAGAGCTTTATAGGTGAGGAGGAGGATTTTAAATTCTATTCTACATTTTACACCAACACTCAGTACTCACACAGTCCATTGTGACAGATCAGAAGTAGCCATTATCTTATTCCCACTGTATTCTTAAAGCTCTAACTAGCATATTATTAATATTACATCAGTACTAAAAATACAGTACTATGTATTTAATCTTCAAGGGGAAGAAAATATGGGCTCTCTACTGTCTAAATACACCAAATAGATATTTAGAAGACGAAAAAGGCTGCATATTGAATGATTGTGGTTATCACAGAGAAAACAATAGGGAAGTTTCAAAGATGGGAAATTTAGTTTAGTTATAACCTTTGCATGCCTCATCATACCAGCCTCTAGCTCTCTCTGAAAATATTTATATATATTTCTCTTTTTCATCTTTACTCATATTTTTTTCCCCTGCTTTCCCTCCAATCACTCAGCATTCCTGGTCCATGTTTTTCCTCAACAGAGGAAGGTGGATGGACTGAGCTGGACCCCCTGAATGAGTTACTTAATTGGGAAAACTAAGCCCCTCACACAGTACCCCTATGTCCCCCTGGGTCCCCTTTCCCCTGTGCCCCGGTTTAGGTTTGATGGATGCTAGAAAGTGCTTTAGGAACCGAGCCCCTACTGAAATGAAATTATCCTTCTCCCACATCCTCCTCGCACACCCTGCTGTCCCAATTTCTCTTCCTTTGACAGGTGCAGTCAGGGAGGCCGAGGGCATCAATCATGAATATTTAGCCTCATCTACATTATAATGGACCTGTTGTCACCCAGCCAAATAAACACAAGTATATGTAAACATATACAGTAAATGCCCCAGAGACTGAAGTAAATACTTGAAGCATGATTGGTGTAAATGCATCTAATAATTATCATAGATGAAGTTGAGTGACAGATGAAAAGAAAAATAGTAATAAGGCCTTCCCATTCAGTAGATGTCAACCTGGTTGAACATGTATAGGAGAATTTGGAGCAGCGTGTTGGATCTTGTGTGACATGAATGTGACCTTTGAGTCGGCTACTACGCAGCTGCATTTCCAGATGGTAAATAGACCTGTACTTGTACTGTACTGCGCCTTTCTAGTCTACTGACCACTCAAAGCGCTTTTACACATTTGCTCTGTTACACACATTCACACAGTGATGGCAAACTCCATTGAACAGAAACTACCTAATTTGTGCACAGCATCATACATCGTACATATGTTCACTCTTTCATACCAAATTCACTCAGTGTCAAAGGCACATTCTAAACTGTTAGGCAGCAAGTTAGGTCAGATAACACTTGAGGAACACTGTTGCTTCACCTTGTCAACCTCAAGGTATATGACACTGTATGTACTATACTTAACTGCAGTCCATGTCCCAAGTTACATTATGTTAACTTGGGCTTGGAATTGGAAAGTGTTTATGTGAATGCATGTGTGTGCATGCAAATATCAGTGTGTGTGTGTGTGTGTGTGTGTGTGTGTGTGTTGCATGTGTTTAAGTGTCTGCATTTATGTGTGTGTATATGTACCAGTCCATGTGCCATCTGCTGATCACATCACCTGTCTGTGTGACATCATCTCCAGTCAAATCCTGTCTTTTCCCATCACACCTGCAACCTGATCTGCTCACACATACTCACCATGAAGCTCGCTACACCCAAAATAAATCCACATCCCAATTAGTGTGATGAATCTGCGTTTAATAGTGCTGAAACAAAGCAGTCAGCCTGTAAAGCTCCAGAGGAAATGAGACCGAGGGGTCAGAGCCAAATCCAGCGCCTGAACCTCCCTGTTGGCCATGCTGAGCTTGCAGCCAGCAGCTGTTTGCTTGGCAGAAACTCGACATTAAACACTGACATATATTTACAGGCTGCTAAGCCCAGAATTGCTCTCTGTCATTTTTCAGACTCTAAGCAACAGCCATAAGGCAGTATCCACATAGGAGAATAATTATTAAAAAAATATAGGAAGTAAACAAGAAAAGATCTCCAGGGTGAATTCTGTAATTGGTTTTCAGTCTGAATTTGTGCATAATTCAAGTCATTTCACTGTAGCTCTTACTTTCCAACATGTTGTACCATGCCCTCAGGTCAAGAATATAAATGATTATGCCAAGCAAGAGATGTAACTTATTTCAGCACAGGCTGTGAAGAAAAGCAAAACTTGCTAGTGCCGTTTTTTAAAGAGAGAGGAGGAATCTGCCCAAACAGGTAGAACTAGGAGAGCAACATTTAAACGAAGGGACGTAAACCAAAAATGACAGCAGCGTGTGGTGGATGTGAGACGCCCAAATAACAAAAAAACACTGTATAGTGAATCATGGAAAGCAATCATGTATATTTATACAGAAAGCTTGGCAAGATGTATCACAAAATGTGTAACCCATTGTTTTACATAAGACCTACTATAGACTTCTTATCTGTTTTTTTCCATCTCTGCAAATGAACGAATGTCTCACATGCTACATTCATGCCATTACAAAACAATGATGAGCCATTGCCTGGGAAACAAGGTTTTTATGTCCAAAGCATAGGCAGAAGGCCCTAGAGGCTGCATTGTTCACTACACCAGTGGTTTTCAAACTAGGTTTTTAGGGATCCCCAACAAAAGGAGAAATACAATATTTGAACTTTTAACAGATTTCACTGATTTATACTGATTTCAGGCTGTCAATCTGTACACCAGGAAAAAAAGCCTTTTAACTAATTCTGGTATATTTACAGCAGTGTTTATTGATATGCACTGTCCCTGAGAAATAAATAAATAAACTGAAGTACATTTTTTGGAAGTTGGAACAACAAGGTAAGAATTAGGGTTTTCCTGTTTTTATTTATTGTAATTTATAGTGATCCTGGTTTGATCATTGATTAGACCCTAGTAGACTGTATAATTTTAAAACATAACTTTTTTTAAACATACTCTCCTTTCAAATGGGGTGTCCGTGGTCTAATGCAGTGGTTCCCAACCTTTTTCCTTGAGGGTCCCCTTTTCTATCATTGAGTAAACTGACATATTTTATGGATATTTCATATTATATTCATATTAGTTCATGCATGACAATAACAGTAGAGAACAGCTGATAAACTGTACAATGAACCCAAACAGTGAACATGGATGAACTTTTAATTATTTCTAGATAGATTTTCCTGATATTTTTAAGGAACTTTTAAACAATCATACATACTTGACAGGCTTTTTTGGCAAATTCTGTGTTTTCTTCTCATTGTTCTAGTAGCTCTTTGGTTGGCTTTGTGCTGCCTTCTTTTTTAATGCAGGATAAGGCCTTTTATCAGAGTGAAGGTTCTATGAATATAGCTTGTGTTTAGATCTTCAAAGTTTAGATCTTAGATAATATTCTAAACTTTAAAACTAATAATTTCATTTAGTTCACAGACATGAACAAAATGCTGAGATATAGGCCTACTGTGTAGTATTATTTTTAAAGTTTTCCCCTTAAAATGAGGAAGGCCTAGCAACCCCTTGTGAAGCTTTAGTGGTCCCTAGTGGGGGTCCCAACCACCAAGTTGTGAACCACTGGTCTATTGTGCATCTATTGTGGAAGGAATGGAAGGGTCAGGTTTAATCCTCTGCAGAGCATGAATATGTTCATATGTTAATGGTTAATGGTTAATGGTGGTACATGACGAAAGGTTAGGGGTCACCGAAACATGAAGGATTAGTCCTCTGGGGACCTCCACAGTGGAAATATAACCACTTTTTAAAGATGCATTGCATGACACCCAATGTACAGACATATCAGACTGACATATGGGTGTGTGTCTGTGTGTGTGTATCCTTTCCCAGGAGGTGCAACGGTGCACTGTTGATATGAAGATCACGTCAGAGCACTCCAACCACCCTGACAACAAGCACAAGAACAGATACATCAACATAGTGGCCTGTGAGTACACACATACCCTGTACTGTCTTCTTCATATAGTACATTTTTAATTTAAACTGCTGCAGTTAATGGCAGGCAAAACATATTTTGTATTTACAAACTGTGTGTTATCCCAGGTTTTCTGGTCTGTTCTTTGCTACATACTCAACCTATGTTTTGTTACTGTCAAACATATTTTTATTATCATATGTTATTGCATATGTCTCAACCAATGCTAATTCTATACTTTTGTCTGGCAGGTTTAATTTAATTTCCATTTGTTCAGCATATGCATATATGTCAATTTGTATACACCTGTAGTGTATAGTGCAATCAGAGTAACAAGCTGGTAAAAGTAATGTAACTTTAGTTGAAACACTAAACTGATCAAAAGTGTTTTCCAGTTAAAGGTTTAGACATTTAGAGTTGTTCTGATTATTTTAACCAGCCATAGGTAAGGCTCATTGTATTGTTTATTATCTTAATTTTTTTTAAACCTGGATTTTTTTAAAAGAGCAGATAACTTTGAGTGGATTTTTAGTGTAAAACTGTTTGGTTAACGCCTTTCACCATCATTTACTATAAAAGAGGTTCTATTGCAGCAAGAACTGCTCCAGGGGTAGAATGTAAAGAGAAAATGGAGGGGAAAAAAGTTATTGAATCACCAGATTTCCAAAGAGTTCTTTGTATTTGCCATGCAAGATCCTGAGTGCAACTTTTGGTTGAAGAGAAGATTAGCAGCTGGATCATCCAAATAAGTATGGTTCTTCCTCTGTAGACCATGAATATTAAAAGGAAATCGACCTCTGGTAATCAATTACCTTGTTGATGACTCATCCAAATGCTGCTGCAAAAGGAAAATTACTTACTTAAGTTACTAAATTCACATGGATAATTTCCATAGTAAATGTCATGTATCCATTAGATTTTAAGGTGAAATGAAAGGTTATGGTGTCATTAAAATCATTATGGGGACCATAAATGTTCATGCTAAAATTAATTTGGACAAGAATTGACCAATTGGATAAAAATGTTACAGTGATTTCTGCTACGTTTTAAACTTTTATACTAAAGCACAAATCACAGAACCAAAGTCTTCATGTTAAAGCAAACCAACCAACTGAGATCACCATCCTTGGGCTCCATCACTCGCAGAGCACAAACTTACCACAAGCCCTCTAATGCTGAGACACCACACACAGGCTTGGTGCTAGACTACATTAATCTGTAATACATATTTCACATGTCTCATGCATTGGCTGTGGATGAAAGTCTTGTATTTATTAGAGTGCTTGCTAGAAGCAAAGGACGGGTACCATGCTGGTTAGCTGTCTGTAAAAAGCTACACAACCCAGTTTGACCATTGTTTCAACCACAAAGGTTAATGCTCTTCCTGTTAGGGAGCAGGTGCCTTGGCAGGGCACAAAGACAATAACAATACATGGACAACACTGTGTTAGGGTAAGTCAGGGTTAGCTCCTGTTGAGGTTTCAGCCACACAAACACACTCACTGTTTTACTCCTTTGGGTTTCCTCCTCAGATGACCACAGCAGGGTGAAGCTGAGGCCACTGGCTGGGAAGGACTCCAAACACACTGACTACATCAATGCCAACTATGTGGATGTGAGTGCTTCTGCTGGGACATCTCAAGTACTGTGTCTGTGTGTTTGTATAATAAGGACATCTCATTCATGAGATGATGACTGCAAGAACAAATACAAAACAATAAAGAATCAAGAGATATATCTTAGATATTATTGTATAATAGTTTCTCAAGTTTTTTTAAGTGCCAAACTAATACTGTGTCTCTTTGTCATGCAACCATTAGGGTTATAATAAGCCTAAAGCCTACATCGCAGCCCAGGGACCTCTCAAGTCCACTTTTGAAGACTTTTGGCGGATGGTGTGGGAGCAAAATGTTGGCATCATTGTCATGATCACCAACTTAGTGGAGAAAGGCCGGGTATGTTCTTACATGCACACAATCTCAATATAGACATTTAAGGCAAGGTTCATAAATGTTTCCTAGCTTGTTCTCAATTACTCAGTACCATACACTCAATAACTGTTAATTAGAAATTCTAGTTCTGCTTAGGATAACATAGTTAGGCCTACTACATTTCATCAATAGCTGTTTCTTATAGCAGACATTTTGAATTGTCAAACACGGTGTTACTAATTATATCAATAATGTAAAAATGTCATTAGGTGAGCCAGTTCCAGGGCCCTGGTATTGTGCTGGTCACTGGCATGGCCAAGCCATCAGTAATGCCATTAGTTCCACCTGTGCTTTTCCTGCTATGGCAAGTCAAACTGTCCACCTGGTGCTAGAGCTGATCTGTGTCAGCGCTAACCTGGACGTGCCAGATGGTTTGATACACAGAACCATCTGGGAAGCCTTTATAAACTGTTTGGAAAAGGGCAGGCACAAAAATACTCTTTTTCATTGAGAAAGACCTTCAGTGCCGATCTTTGGTCTTCTTTTAATGAAGAAATACTCTACAGTTCTTATCGTATCTGATGCTGGCAGCATCTATGCTAACATATTTACTTTATTGGTACCTTGTTGACTGTGCTTAGCTTGAAAAAAACATCTCACCACAGAAACAATATTTCTTTGATCTGTTTCATGGGAAAGGTAATGAATTGACTGAAGTTTCCTGTTTCAACACGTCTTACACCCTCCACAATATGTTGGCAGAAACTGAATCTAATTGATGTATGTGTGTGTTTTTGTTCTACAGAGAAAATGTGACCAGTACTGGCCAACAGAGAACAGTGAGGAGTACGGCAACATGATGGTCACGTTGAAAAGCACTAAAGTTCATGCCTGCTACACTGTTCGCCACTTTACACTGCGCAACACGCAAGTCAAAAAGGTGAAAATGACAGTCTGGAGTTCTAGTCTCACAATATTTCTGATACGTAGCAGGACCGCAGATTGTCATTTGATGCTTTCAAAGCCTTTGTGTTTTTTTATTTTTCTCCAACTCAACAAACATCTCTTCCTTCTCTACTTTCCTTCCTATCCTCTATTCAGGGTGGGAAGGGGAACCCTAAGGCACGGGCCCAGAGTGAACGGATGGTGCTCCAATATCATTACACCCAGTGGCCTGACATGGGTGTCCCCGAGTACACCCTGCCTGTCCTCACCTTCGTCCGAAGGTCCTCAGCCGCCCAGATGCCTGACATGGGACCCATGCTCGTCCATTGCAGGTAATGATTAATTAGACTGTGTTGTCAATATACATACTAAAACTGTTTTGTTTTTACACACTTATGTCACTGACAGCTGACACATTATGTACAACCTTTTAGAATAACCAGAAAACACTTGGGGCCAGGTGGTGGAGAAAATGTGTAAAGTCTGTGATGACAAATCCCTGTTCATAGCAGAACTTTGTGGTCATTCTGTCCACTCTTGTACACTAATGGTGTATTCACATGTCTTGTTTGGAGCAGTTGTTTCAAAAACAGATGTGATTTTTTGTGATTTAAGCATTATTTCTAGCTAAACTTATAAATCCATTGGCAGATCATTAAATCTGTTCAGGAAGAGATGCTTAAGATCTTTTTGGATTATTTTGAAAAAAGACATCAATTTACGCTTTCGTATGTTTGTGAAGAATGCACTTCTTCACAAACAAATGCAAACATGCTTCGATCCTTCAAATCAACATATAGCTGTTAACTTAATACCTAAACCTTTGTGTTTTTCCACACTTACAGTTGCATATCTAAGCAGCATCTGTGAGCCTGCAGTCACAGTTGCCAGCTTGTATTTGAAGGCATTTTACAGTAAGGCTGGGGGGAGAAATTACTGGTAATTGCCTGCTGACTGTGGCCCCGGGGGGAAGGAGTATGAAGCTCTCTGCTATCATTTGCACTGTGATGGTCGATAATAACTCGTCACACTGCCTCACTGCTGTTTGCTGCAGACACACCACTCATTACTCTGATTTTGTAGCGGAGCATAGACACACAGACGTCCTCATGTTCATGTTAGGCCGCCATGTTGAACCGCTATGTTTGTACAGTAGCCCAGAAGGGACAAACCAAACACTGGCTCTAGATAGGGCCATTCGCATTTTCTGCACTTACTATAGTTTCTCCCCAATGGTGGGAAAAGGAGGGTGAAACGAGTCAGTTGCAATCTGTTACATCACTAGAAGCCCCTAAATCCTACACACTGGACCTTTGAAGGCACATCATAAAAAAAAGCCATTTAAGGTGATGACCACGTATGTGTATGTCTAATACCCAAATTTCCTGACAACTTTCTCCCGTCACTTCTCATAAAAGAATAATTTCACATACATTTTAATGCTTATTTCCGACATATATGTAATTTCTCTCATCTTTTATTTCTTTGGCTTTTCCTGCTGTTCCTCATTGTCACTGTGTTGTGTTGCAGTGCTGGAGTGGGTCGGACAGGGACGTACATCGTCATAGACAGCATGCTGCAGCAGATCAGAGACAAGAGCACAGTTAATGTACTTGGCTTCCTCAAACACATACGCACCCAGCGCAACTACCTAGTCCAGACTGAGGTTTGTATGTCTGTGTCTGTGTGTGAACCAGATGTTTGTGGGCAGTGTAACTCATGTGCCTCATTGTTTCCTCCACTAGGTTTAGCATGAACATATTTTTCTGCTAGCTGGTACCCCATTTAGACATACACAGTGAAGTGCATCAAACCTGCATCTTTATTGGTCAATATACCCAATCCAAGAGCATCTATTCCCAATTTATGCAATTCGAACACTGTTTATGGACCCCAGTATGCAGAGATTTTCAAATACACCAGGTGAACACATTTACACCACATGCAAAAAAATATGGGGTTATTTCGTCAAACTGCACAGGATTAGCAGTATGAGTGCAAAAAGGAGATTCGTAGGTACTAGAACCCATTTTAATTCATATATCTTGAGGTCAGAGGTCAAGGGACCACTTTAAAAATGGCCATTGGGGCCCGTGCCCAATTTAACAGTGTTTAGGGTTACTAGCTAGCGGGAGGTCTGCTGCCAGAGCCATGTTGAGAGAGAGTTGTGGTAATGATGTGTCGTACTGGAGTTTCAGTCCCCAACCTTACCTAAAAGTCATCCCTCTGGGAAAAAGTTACGGTGTGAATTATCTGTCTCCTGTGGCAGCAGCTCCTGTGAAGCTTATCTGTTAAGTCTTTTTTCCTGTGGCAATAACTGACATGCCATTCAGCCTGCTTCAAACATCCTTCATTGCTTCAAACCAAACTGCATCTTTTTGGAAGGGTGTACGCTCAGAATGTGTGTGTCTATGTGTGGTTATACTGATACAGCATTTTACTTGACACTGGTGCTGATTTCTCTGATGCTGCAAAGCAGATTTCAAGTCATAAGAAAAAGCCAAAATGTTGTTATAACTGATCCTTAATCTTATTGCAGAATATCAGTTTCAATGTAGATCTATGGGTTAGGCATGTGAAAAACAAGATTACACATATACATGTAAGTCCACCTGTACTGCCATACTAGCTGCTAAGCACAATATTTCTTCATCGCTTTTTTTGGCTGATCCAGGAGCAGTACATCTTCATCCACGATGCCTTGATGGAAGCCATTTTGGGGAAGGAGACGGAAGTAGCGGCAAGCCAACTTCACAGCTACTTTAACAGCATCGTGACACCAGGACACGGCGGCCGGACACGTCTGGAGAAACAGTTCAAGGTGAAGCTCATTCCACATTAACACATTTAGCATAAATATCACAACATAAAATAACAGTGTCTGGTCATTAGTCATATCTTGCTGAAGATGAGAATGGCCGCGCTTGCATCTTGATCTCTTTTTTTCTCATGATAAGGGTTTAATTTATCTTATCTCAAAAACAAAAGGCAAATTTCTCGAGGTATCTCAGGATAAAACTTTTGTTGTCTTGTGATAATTATTGATAACTAGAAAATGAGTGTCTGGTTCATTCACTTGCAGCTGGGCTAGTTTTCTCCTTAAATGACAGGAACTGAGCTGAATGTTCTCTCTAACGTAAAGACACAATGCAGTTTCCAGTTAGTTAGACCTCGACTGAAGTACAGCCTGATCAGACATTTTGAACTGGCATGGCACTCCAGACTTCTGAAAAACATTATAAATAATAAGACAAAACAATCTCTTGTTTTCTTGAGATAAAAACGGTTTGATTATTATATTATATCAAGATTAAAAAGCTTGTTTTCTTGAGATAACTAAATAATCAATAATTGCAGTGATTATAATTGCAAGGACGGACTTTCTCAGCTTCAGTAATATCTGGTTAGATTACTAGCTGATTGACCCTAGCTTTAAGAACCTCGATCATCTCCCTCCTTTTCCTGTATATGCTATGTGCTAGGCGCTATGTGCTAGGCAAAAGACTAGCTAATCTATGATGTGACTAAAGGCTGTACACCGATGAGCCATAACATCGTGAGCACTGACAGGTGAAGTGAATATCACTGATTATCTGGTTATCATGGCTCCTGTCAGTGGGTGGGATATATCAGACAGCAAGTGAACATTTTGTCCTCAAAGTTGATGTCAGAAGCAGGAAAAATGGGCAGCGTGAGGATTTGAGCGACTTTGACAAGGGCCACATTGTGATGGCTGGACGACTGGGTCAGAGCATCTCCAAACCTGCAGCTCTCGTGGGGTGTTCATGGTCTGCAGTGGTCAGTACCTATCAAAAATGGTCTAAAGCGGTGAACCGGAGACAGGGTCATGGGGGGCTAAGGCTCATTGATGTACGTGTAGAGTGAAGGCTGGCCCGTGTGGTCCGATCCAACAGACGAGCTACTGTAGCTCAAACTGCTGAAACAGTTCAAGCTGGTTCTGATAGAAAGGGGTCAGAACACACAGTGCATCAGTCTGTTGGTATGGAGCTGCAGAACATTCTGACCACCAGGGTGCCCAGGCCAGGCCAAAAGGGGCGGGACCTAGGAATTGTTATTTATTGGTTTATTAGCTGGATTAGTTTATCATTATTAGCTTGTTTACCTTTAGCATACTGTATTGAGCCAATACAGTTTTTAATACATTGAAGAACTGGGATCAAAAGATGTCTAATATCAAAACTCAGATTAAAGGCCTCCCTGGATTGTGCAGGAAACTCCTCCAGCAAAATCAAATCTGTAGCTTCCTCCTGTTGTGAACAGTTATGTTCAATTAACACAGCTTACACAGCTTCACGTGCATTTAGTCATTCTCATACTAAAAATGTTGTTATATATTGTTTTTATGAGATTTCACCAAGACTAATGCTATGTTGCTCATCTCTAAATGAAATGAAAATGAGGATGTCAATTAAAATCATAATAAAATATTATTTATTGGTAATTGAAATAAATATGGTCTTAAACAATTTATCAGGTTTTCTCATCGGGCTTTACAATTAATCAAAATGTTAATGAAATCACAATATAGCCAAGTGCAATATCCAAAATGCAGAAGCTACAATGTTTTGATAAAGATAAAATGTGGGAAAACACAATATTTCAATGAAGTACTATAGATCTGCAGAGATACTCTTGCCTACAAATCTTGTTCTCTAGACTTAAGACCAAAACATGTTTGTCGCGTCGTCGTGATTTTAATAGTTTTTTCAGTAAAAATGAAAATTGTGATGCAAAAATGATCATTCCCACTAAAGGTGAATAATATCACAATGACAATATCAGTGTCAAAATAATCACAATATGATGTTTTTACCATATTGTGCAGCCCTATTTTCTTCCATTCAGCCATGGTTTATATTGGTTGTGGGTTTGATTAGAGTTGTTGGAAGTCTTGACAGCAGAAACCTGTTATTTTTTAATTCATAATTTTAGAATTATTATATTTTTACAATCAAGCTGTGGCTCAGAGGAAGAGCGGTTCGTCCACTAATAGGAAGGTTGTTCTCCCTGGCTCCTCCCGCCACATGTCGAAGTATCCTTGAGCAAGATACTGAACCCCGAATTGCTCCCGATGCCGTGCATGAATGTGTATGAATGAGGTAGTTTCTGTTCAATGTACTTACAGTACAGGTCCATTTACCATTACCACAGTATGTTGTAATCGAGTCCAAGGTCTAGACTTTTGCTGTATCTGTGCAAAAAAATAGCTTTCTTTGTTATGGTAATGCATGGAAAGCTTTTACGGCAGGATTAGAATTTAGTCATTGTTTATGGCTCTTTGTTTTTCCTCTGGTCTTTCCCAACTTCTTTGAGCCAGTTTGGTTCAGTTTGTCTTTTCATTCTTAGCATTTTCTATTTTGTTTTACTTTCAGCTTCATTACAGAACTCCATATTTATTGAAGTATTTTGAAGAATTTTTTGCTTGTATGTTTACCGATACTATTCAATCAAAGTCTTAAAGACACACAGAGGAAGTGCACCTCATTCTTAAAAATAGCAGTACTGGAGAATATTTTTGTACAGGGGCGGCTGTGGCTCAGAGGTAGAGTGGGTTGTCCACTAATTGGAGGGTTGTTGGTTTGATCCCCGGCTCCTCCCCTGCATGCCGAAGTATCATTGAGCTAGATACTGAACCGCAAATTGTGAATGAGGTAGTTTCTGTTCGATGGAGTTTTCCATCACTGTGTGAAAGGGGGAATGTGGTATGTAGTTTAAAAAGTGCTTTGAGTGGTCAGAATACTTGAAAGGTGCTATATAAGTACAGGTCCATTTACAATGCTGACTTTTTCTGGTACATTTTACCATAAGAGTCACATAATAGGCCCTCATGCACAATAAAATGCGCAAAGTAGATTTTGATTACAGTGTTGAGTACAAATTTGAAAAAAATTTATCCTGAAATGTTTGTTGTAAATACTGTACAAGAGTACATATTTTAGGAAAGTATTCCTGTTTGCTTACAGAGAGTTCAACTTGATAGTTATGCATCAAAGCTTTTTTACTGAACACTCTGCACCAGTAGCGTGCAGGGGGGGGATGTTTAAAAACGTGGGGAAAAATCCCCTCTTTGGGAACCACACACCTAAAAAACCCCCCCCCACCTGAGGGGGGGAGGTATTTTATCTCCCCTTTTTTTTTTCCCCCCCCCCTTTTCAAAAACACTGCTCTGCACAATGCGGTAACTCTAAACAAAACCTTGACTATTGGATTTTTTAGTAGCTAGCCTCCAAGGTAGAAAGATACAAATGACAAAACAAACATTTTTGGAAGATTATTTTTCTTATAGTTTCCTCTTGCTTCCAGTCTTTGTGCTCACATAGTTAGCCCATGTCCAGGTATTGTTGAATTCTGTTTTTCCTTTGAATTCTGTTTCTGTAGTTGGAGTCAGGGCTCAGGTTAGGGACAGTGATCAAATAACAACCTTCTCTGCTGATTCAGTTGAAGATGGAAACAAAGCATATTTGTTTTTTTTGTAAAACGACACAACTTTCCTAGTTATGATGAGTTGGTCTGCCATTCCTATGTTTGATATTTTTGTTCTTCTGTGTTTTAGTTGGTAACACAGTGTAACAGCAGATTCATGGAATGCTTCAACGCTCAGAAGGAGTGCAACAAAGAGAAAAATCGAAATTCCTCCGTGGTGCCATGTAAGTATTACACTCTTGTAAAAACGTATTAAATATGAAATGAAACTGCAAACAGCAGCAAACAGCAGAAAGTAATAGTGTACAGCAGCTGCTTTATAGAAGAACGGCACATAGAGAATGTTTACTGTTCCACACTGATCGATGATCTGAATTTGATTGAAAAATGGGGGCATTGCAGTGAGAAATGCTGTGTCAGTTAAATTTGAAATGTTTTGGACTTTTGATCAAAGGTCATACTACATTCTCCATATCCACATTTTGGAATGAAAAAACCTGGCAGCCAATCGATCCTCCCATATTCCTATACAACACAAGGTTGTGCGACGAAATTAAAGTTTGTGCTCCCTTTCGTGCTACAAACTCTCATTTCGCTCTGTGCTCCATTGATTAAGAGTTGAGCTGACTTGGTAGCTGTGGGGAACCTCAGCCAAGTTTCTCCTTTGCTGTACTTGCTGATATGCTATGTGCTCGGCTCGAATGTTGAAAAGACAACCACATTTTAAAGACGGTTAAAAGATAAAAGCAACATTTAGACTTAAGTTAGCTAATTTTAGAACAACGTTGGCTAACTATCTAGCCAAAAATGTACGTTAGTTAGCGAGTGTTTTGCTGACATTAGCTGTAGATGTGATTGTATATACTCTATGCTGCTTATCAACCATCTTAAATATTTGGTTGTGGAACTATGGTTGGGTTTATTGGAACACAGTACAGAAAGGGGCTGTACTTAGAAAGGGTCCATTGCCAATTCATTCTTATTCTTTTTTATCACTTTAATTCTTGTATATATGGCCAGTTCTCTTCAAACAGTGCAGCACCATATGCATTTTTCCAAACACCTGTCATCATAAATGTCAAGTTCTGTTGAAGAACATCATTTTTTAACTCCTCTGAGATCAGGTCATCCTCAAATTTAGCATACGGTAGGCTACCTCCGAACAACCATGACAAAAACATATTAAGAGATTTGTTTGTTTTTGTTGGGTTTTTTTTGTTTTTGTTCCTGTAATGTTAAACTTAAAAAATGTAATATTTGTACACAAACTAAAAGCAATTTAACAAAGCAGTTGTATTTCAGATGGCCCTAAAATGTCTCAGCTATTGTTTTTAAATGTGTGAATGTGAAGAGTGGCCCTCTGTTTGCAACTTCAGTGATAAGAATATCATTTTCATACAAGCCTTCAAAAACTCATTAACTAAACCTTCATATGGACTACTCGATTGTTTACATGCTGTCGGGTCTCACTATCATCATTCAGTTACTCCCTGTATTCTGCAGCTGTTGCACAATCTGTTGACAGTCACTGGTTGTTCTGTAGTTCTCTGAATCACCAGCCAAGAATTACCAAGAACTGTCAACACTCAGTAACAGCAAAAGGATGAATGAAAGCACACAGAGTGGCCTCTGAGTGTGATTGGTTGTTCTAATAAACTGGTAAATGGCTTTTCTTCCCTCTCTCTTCTCCCCCCACCCCCTCTCTCTCTGTCTATCTGTGAGCAGCGGAGCGAGCGAGGGTCGGCCTAGCACCTTTGCCTGGCATCAAAGGCACCGACTACATAAACGCCTCTTACATCATGGTCAGCACTTTCACTTCTTCTGTCAATCATTGATCTCTCCAGTCGCTCTTTGATGTTTTGACTCAGAGAAGGTTGCATCAAGTCAAACACAGTTTATAGTACAATATTTAGGGTTCCTTTAATGGGCTACTCCAGCAATTTAGTGTTGCACTTTAATAAAGTTAGGGGATTTCCAAAAGACAGACTTTGAGAAAGAATGGTCAAAATCAAAGCAGCAGAAGGCGAGACATGCTGGCTTTTAGTTGTGTCTTCAGTGTACCATCTTTCAAACTCCATGCTAGAGGTCTCTTTGGTGCAAATATCTTGACCATTTCTGGGAAATGCAATAAAAGGCAGTCAGAACAGGTTCTAATAGACGTGAGGATATAAATACAAAATGTGGTTGACCCAAACACTTCCAAATTGAGAGACAAAAGCTAAGTCATGATTATGACTTTAACACTTTTTACACATATTGACCCCCACAGCAATAAAATGGGACCCCACCCAGATCAAAATAAAATGAATATAATTTGAGCCTAGGATTCTAGTGACCATGAAGACCTCTACTCCATGACCCAGTTCGTAACACAGGTTTTCCACTAAAACTTTAATGTCTTCAAGTTCATTAATTTATCCATATAGGTTGTTTTGGTGTGAGTTGCTGTGTTTGGGAGATATTGGCCATAGAGATGTCAGCCTTCTCGCCAATATAATGGAACCAGATCAGCTTGTGCTGCTTAAAGCGCCAAAACAAAAAAAAATACATTTGAATATTTTGAAAAACTCAGCAGCAATGTTTCTTTCCAGAAATCGTGACTCGGTTACTCAAGATAATCCACAGACCTTGTTGTCAACATGCTTCCTTCTGCACGATGATATGTAGAAAGAAAATAGGAGTTTTTCAAATGTATTCAAGCCAGTGCCCTCTGGTTCTTGGTTAAGAGGAAAAATATGTATTTTTGATGATTGAGTGAACTGTCCCTTTAAGCTCAGCAGCGATATCCCTGATGATTTCACTATGGCACTTTCTTAGAGTTGAACATCTCAACTAAAGAAGGTATACCACAGGCTGAGTAGTACTTTCAACAACTAGTAATCTGACCTTGATGTATAAAATTGTGGCATGTCTATTTGAAGAGGAAGTAGAAGTTAAGAGTAACCCTTAACCCAAAACCCTGCCAAAATCAGGTAGTTAAGTTGCAGTGTGCTGCTGGCTGTAGGTCAGGTGAGGTCACTAAATTAGTGTTCCAGTATAGTGTAAAAACATAGCTGAGCTAGCAGGGGTTCAGTATTTTCCTTTCACCAGCAGATGCTTTCACACAGATTTGAATTAACCCTCAAAGCTCTGTTTAGTCCTTTAAAATCTGAACTGTGCACATGACTTCCAGATGTTGAGCTGGTAATGTATTCAGGAATGTTAACACTATGTGTTTACACAGTTTTAAGTATAACCTAAATCTAAATAAATGTGGTGGTAATTCTGTGGGGGAACTCTTTCACTGACCTGTTGTTTGTTTTTCTTCAGGGTTACTACCGGAGTAATGAGTTCATCATTACCCAGCATCCTTTGCCCCACACCACAAAAGACTTCTGGAGAATGATCTGGGACCACAACGCACAAATTATTGTTATGCTGCCTGCCAATCATGGACTGGTAAGAAGCACACACAAACACACACACACACACACTATATTGTGAAGGGTGATTAGTGCCACCTACCACTTTGACAAGCACGAGCATTGTGTGCCTCCTAACCCTGTGTTTAAGGTCTTATAAATCGCACACACCTTCATGAGCCAGTTACATGCCATTTTGTGTAGTTATCAGCAAAAGTCACCTCCATGCAAACAGTTTCAGTGCATTAGATAATTCTTCATACTGTAATAGTGTAGTTCTGCATATGGCACCAATTTTACCTGGTAATCCAGCGATGGCCACGAAACCAGCTTCATTTATTTATTCAAGTAGACTTTGTAGTGAGCTGACTAGACAAACTCACCACCATCTAAATGTGCTCTAAAGGTATTAATTGTTGGATTATTCCAAAACATCTGCATGACAAGCCACATTACCTGCAGCACCTGTCTGATTGTGAGCAACTGTTAGTGACTAAAGAGTCCTTCAACCTTTAACCCCTAATTCTCTCAGACAGAGAATCTTTAAGGCTTTATAAATTACTCTTAAACCAAAAACTTAGTCTTAAAGACATGACTGGACTGTCATCCTAACTAAGCCAGTTCGGAGCTACTTTTAGTCTGAGGATATTTGAGAATATGTTCTCTGATAAATTAGCTCAAGTGATGTCACTCGGGCTGGGGCTGAGGACAACAAGTTTGAAAATTAAAAAGATCTGTGGAGCTAGAAAAGAACTTAAGAACTTAACTTAAAAGAAGATAACACATCTGCATCTCCGACCGAATTGTCCGACTCTGGTGATGACATTCGGAGCCGGAGTCTGTGTCAGATGTCGTCTTTGGTTCTGTTTTTGTAAACATCACAAGTCAGACAATGTTATAGAAGTAAATTGGAGGATTGGGATCAGAACTGCCAGCCACAAAGGTGACAGGACTAGGCTGGAATGTCTTACCCTTTAACATGCATGTGATTATTAATGTATGTGTTAAAAATATAACCCGGTTAGCTGTTTTTAAACTAGGATTAGGACACTGTATTAAAAAGATGTGCACTTTACAAGAAGCTTTCATTAGTTTTAGACCAGCGATACAGCCTGTGCAATGAGGCTTTGCCACTCATACGGTAGGTCAACAGGTGAACTTTAACTTATTGGAACATGACCTAATTGGGTCATTTAACAAGCCTGTAATTAAAAGTTTGGGTCACAGCTAAGTTCAACATTTTCTGGTGCATTCTATTAATCTAGAGCATTCCCTCAATTGCAACAGACCGAACAAGATGAAATTCAGCAAGAATGATCAAACACAACTCCTGCAGATTCAGAGACTTATTCACCAGCAAGAGGTCCTTTCACTAAACAGTTACTGCAAGACAACTTGATTATGTTCAAATGTGTTATCCTCTTGTCGTTACTTTATTCTTTACCACAAGGATTTGATAATAGAAAATATACTACAATAATGCTGTATCCTGTGATACATTGTTGAATGAATGAACACAGTGGTAAAACAGTCTATGTGCTCTTCTGCAGGCGGAGGATGAGTTTGCGTACTGGCCCAGTCGGGAGGAGGCCATGAACTGCGAGGCGTTCACTGTCACCCTCATCAATAAAGACCAACTCTGTCTGTCTAACGAGGAGCAGATCAGCATCCATGACTTCATCCTGGAAGCTACACAGGTTGTGTGTGTGTGTGTGTGTGTGGGGGGGGGTTGTGTGTGGGAGTGACAGAGAGAGAGCTCTATTTTGACAGTAGACAGCTCTACTGTCAAATTGATTGAACTGTTCTTATTGAATGAACAGTATGAGCACACTGAGGGGCATACATTGGTCATGTGCTTCATCCTGTTGTACTGATGTGAAGTTAAACTTGGTACTAGAGGCTCAGTAACTACAAGTTGGTTTGTAACTAAATCTGCTAGTACATAAAGTCCTAACTAAGGCGAGGGGCCAGTCAACGATCAAAGTCTGTTGTTCTATTGTCATGGTTACTGTGCATATTAGCTTTCTGGCTGGCATGAGCCACTTCGCATTGTAGCGCATTGTAGTAAACTAGATTGATATTGAAATATCATATCAATAAATGAGGTCTCTATTGGATACTGTGTTGCAAAATGTCTGCAGTTAATAAAAACATTTTGCTGTGTTTTACCATTTTTACCAAGTATAATTTTATGTATTTTTATCATTTAAACTACCATAAAGGGGATGTGTAACTATTTAGTTGTTACTTAAACAGCTGGTGCAACAGGCTCCAGGCTATTTCCCAGTGTTGTCCATCAGACTTTAACAGTGAAATAGAAATTAGTCTAACAGATAGAAACATGTCCTCAATCATTCTCCAGTCCTCAGTCTGTTATGTTCTGTTCATGCACAAAATTAGAATGTTGTCCCTTCTGCAGATTATAATTTTGGCTATTCGGCTTCTACAGTTTATCTTTAATGGGCTTCCATATTTCCAATTTTGCCCCTTTTTGATCAGTTACACAAACCTCAATATACACACTTTTAAAGCAAAACACACACCGAGCTGCAACCAGTGTGAGCTTCAAATCACTTAATTAAAATGATAACCTTTCTCATATAAAGCATACTTTATTACCTATAACATGTCATCTTGCCTATTTTCATCACGTCTCAGATTGTTTCCAGTTTTATAAGTTGTGACTTTTTAAGAGCTATATAGATATTTAAAACAAAATACTAAAAGTAATCTACATACTTCTTTTCTCTTGTTTTTAGCTCATTAACACATTAAGTAAATATTGTACTTTGTAAAAAAATATTTTTTAAAAGATGGTTGTCACTGTTTTTGGATATCTTGAAACTGTATGAATTTTGTGTTTTTAATAAGTCACATGACTAATTAATGGGGCTGTACTGGAACCAACCACAGATACTGGAAGTCTCAAATAACTTTCTTAAAGCTGCAAACAAACAGCTTTTGGGAAGTTAAAGGTTAAATATTTTTAATGAAACTAAAATTGCATAATTGCAGCTAATTGTTTTGGTCAAAGCTCAAGTCACATTCTAAACCGAACATCCTTCATCTAACCTTTGTATCTCTTTCTCTTTCTTTCTGCCTGTCTGCCAGGATGACTACGTATTAGAAGTTCGTCACTTTCAGTGCCCCAAGTGGCCGAATGCCGACGCGCCCATCAGCAGCACCTTCGAGCTCATCCATGTCATTAAAGAGGAGGCGGCCTCCCGTGATGGACCTACAATCGTCCATGATGAGTCAGTCTGATATTTGATCTACTCTTATATGTCTCACCGCAGCTTGCATTTAGATGGGTTGATTCCTAGTAGGCACTGCCAATGTGATGTGTCAAATTAGAAAATAGAATATTAGAATACATAATGCTGTACTTTATTGGGTCCACTTAAGATAGTTGGAAATAATAGAATAATAATATAGCTTTATTCATATAGGACTTATCAAATGAGTTACAAAGTGCTTCACATAACAAGCAAAGAGCACATAAAACACAACAATAAAAGAATCAAAGCACAAAACAAACCATATAAAAAATAAAAACGCAAAACTCCTGAACAGAGTAAAAACTAGAATCAGATGAAATCAGGGAAGGCAGTGCGATAAAAGTACGTTTTGAGCTTTTATTTGAAAGAAGTCACTGACTTAGCCTGCCATACTTCCTCATGCAGGGTGTTCAAGAGCCTCGGGGCTCTTATTTCAAAAACTCTGTCCCCCTTAGTGTTCAGCTGAGAGTCTGGAACAGATAAAAGCCCCTGCTGCCAGAGGATCGAAAAAATGCAAGTAGGGTTGTTCAGGGATAAAAGATCTGTGAGAGAGGTTTTTAGACCATTTAGTGCCTTGTAAGTAATTAAAATCAATTCTGAAATGAACTGGAAGCCAGTGTAATGAGGATTGATGTATTCAAACCTGCTTACTCTGGTTAAAAGCCTGGCAGCTGAGTTCTGTTCTGTCTGTAGCCCATCTGTAGTTTCTCTATTTAGACATGTAAAAAGGCTGTTAGAGTAATCCAGGTCTGAAATGTAGAAAAGTTTTCATATCTTTAAACATAACGTAGGTCATTGGAGGGGACCTACAGTACTTGCTGTGGCTCTTTCATGCATTGTCAGGTCTTATAATATATTGGCCTTTGGAAGAGTTATGCAGTAACATTTAGAATAAGCTGTTCTTTTACATTTAAAAAAAAAAACCCATCTTGCTGGCCTCATGCAATCAAACTGCCATGACTATTGTCTTGTTTCGAATTTAACATGAGACCTACTGGCATTTGATTAAAAGTTACCCAGAAACCACTTGATCAAGAGAAAGGAACTGGAAAAAATCTCGTAGTGGTTTGTGGAATACCGTTTTGAAGCCTTGAGTTTGACATTTTGGCCGTCGGCATGTTGGTTTTTAGAGCCAGCAGCGATGATGTGCAGCACTCATTATCTGTGCAATGGCAGCTCACCTGGTCACACATGTTCTCATATTACAGCAATACAGTACGCTAAAATAGTTTCTGAAATGATTTGAGGTGAGAAAAAAACTATGTAGTAACAGAATATTGCTTTGTATTTGATCAGCACTGCCTAGTTTGACAGTTTGAGTTTGGTGCGTTGAGGTGGACGGACTCACTGAGAATGACCTGTCAATCACAAGGTAGCCCCGCCCTAAAGCATACCCTGTCAGTGCTGCCGCCGTCTGGTTTAAGACACATTTTTATGGATTCACTTCACAATTCTGGAAGCTCCACTAATTAGATACGGTCAATGGTCTGATGTGACACATTTTCACAGTGGGCTATAGTTATATTGATTGTGCTTTGTTATACTTTTACATTTCCCTGCATTTTTGAAACTTTTGAAATGGATGATAACTTGAGTTTTGAAAGAATTGCTGCTGCTGAAATTAAAATAAAATCACTGCAGGAATTAATTATCACACCCATATTATTATTATTATTTTTTTTTGTTTGGCCTTTAATTGCCTTTAATTGTAAGTGACAGCTGAAGATAGACAGGAATCGGGGGTAGAGAGAGGGGATGACACGCAGCAAAGGGCCACCGGTCGGATTCGAACCCTGGGCTACTGATTGAGTGAGTTCCATTGTGTTCACTCCCAGGTTAATATACTTTTTGCGGTGTGAACACGGAATGACCAAAAACTTGGCAACACTGGCAGCCTGACTATCCTGCTGCATCCTGCCCCCCATCCCCCCACCACTGACACCGCAACAAACTGCCCAATTAAACATAATGAAAGTGTCTTAAGTATTGACACACATTAGTGTTCTTGAATGACACTCTAATCCAGCAGCTCTGCTCATGTTTATTCATTAGAATAATGAAGATTGCTTGTCGCAAGAAGAAAAGTGACTAATTGAGCACTTCATCTGGTTGCTATGGCGCAGCCGGCTTGCAGCACCTAAGAGATTGTCTGTTAGAGGCTCGTCCTAATTGTCTGCACGCTCATTATTCAGCCAGCCATGGATTGTTAGAAGCGGTTTCTGCTGAGCTCCTGACAGGGATGCTAATGGAAGACGAGACCCCTTACATCTTGCAGGCGAACCAATGTTCTCCAGGGAGCCTCACACCGGGCTGAGCTGTCGTTCTCAGGTGGATTCACTTGCTAATAAATCTTTAATCTCAGAGGTGACATTCCTGATCTGTGAGAGTCTTCATTCCCTGGTTGAGCTGCTGTCAAGGACATGTCAAATGCTGAGTTGTAAAGGTCTTCACAGCATCTCAAATCAGGAATTTTGAGAGTCCGCTGAGAGATTTCACTGCAGCCGATGGATTTAATTGAATCAGACTTCAATCAGAGGAGACAAGGCTAGTGAAAGAGCATTTCTTTGGCAAAAGACCATTTATAAGAAGTACAATTGTACAAATGGTGGCTATATAACACATCTAATCTCTATAAGCAGATATCTGCAGATTGGTGCCCATCAGTTGTCTGAGGAAAATTTAGCTTTTTTATTTATTTATTTTTTAACTGTATCTACATTCATGCAGATATGTGTTCATAGAGATTAGCCAAAATGTGCCATTCTCCAATATGAAGTTGCCAATCAGACTGCAGAGGAAGTATTGGCCCGTACATCATTGGCCATTGCCCCTAGAGGCTAAGAATAGCTGATGGGTTCTGAGATTGCCATACATCTAACAATTTGGGGAGTCATAAACAGGGCTAAGACGTGAGTAGTGGAGTATGTGTAAGAATGATAAGAAACAGAATGAATACAGAAAGAAACGTTCAGTCCCCCTGAGCTTGCTGTAAACATAACGCAGTGAGTTCATGGAACCCAGCATGATGAGAAAATTGTTTTTCTCCTCAAATGCATGCTAAAAGCTTAATAAGTATTGGGAGATGATGAAACAAATATTCATAACATGTAGTGTTCATACAGCTGCTGTCAGATGGAAAGTTGTTTTTGGTATATTGCTGCTTTAAAATAGACCTGAAGTACACTATAAATTGATGTGGTTGAACAATGCAACTTCCACAGGCTTTTCATTTACAAAAACATGTGAAACATTACGGTCAAAAAACGGCGGTGGCGTCTTCCAGCCAAGGTGGGAAGAACAAATATTATTTAAAGGTGCCACAGATGTAGAACAGCAGTTAGATGTCATGAGATGTTATGCCACAGTGAGTGGTTTCACCAGACTTGATTTGCATCTACAGATTAAGTAAATATAGTCTTTCACATTATGTAATTTTGCACAAAAGATAGCTTTAATTTTGATAACCCCAGGACCTTTCCTACACATGTAAAAACAGAAAAATCATCAATCTGTTACGAAACCAGTGGATGAGAAGCATTTTTGATATTATGTGGAGATGCATGCTAACCCCAGATCCTAACTGTGTTTGTGTCAGGTTGGGAGCAGTGTCAGCCGGCATGCTGTGTGCCCTCACCACCCTGTCTCAGCAGTTGGAGAGCGAGGGCGCCGTCGATGTCTATCAAGTGGCCAAGATGATCAACCTCATGAGGCCAGGGGTCTTCACAGACATTGTGAGTCTGACAACTGGAGCTGAAATAATGCCCAGAGATATACCAAATTACCATTCCTTAGTTATCAGATGATGCTCCTTGTTCAAAAGGATCATCAGTTTAGTGAACTTGACAAGGATTTGGTAACATCCATCAAGCACAAAACTGTCGTATGAAAGAAGATTACATATGAAGCTGTGTAGGTAACAAAAAACAATACACTGTAAAAAGAGCAGTGTCAGTTGTTTTTCATGACCTCACAAACCAGATTGGATTATTTGGCATATGCTGTACCACAGCTATTTGCTAGCATGGGTCCTGGAAGTAGGGGCGTACATGTGTATAGGCAGGAAAGAGCCTTGTTTTATTTGCTAAAAATATATAAAATTTGTGTAAAAAGTTGTTAATAACTATTAAATAGGCTAAAAATGATCCTGGCCATTCAAATTAATACAAAAACCAAAAAGGTCATGCATTTAGTGTGACGTGATTATATAGATTGACTTACTCAGCACCTCAAACTTCTGACTTCCCAGTGCCCGTTCTCGCCAGTGATGAAAAAATCAATCAATCATAATTTTTTTTAAATCCGCAGAAAACACACTGAGGAACCAACATAAAATTGGAGCACACTAAAACCTTGGTTTTAGCTGGTAATGAAGAAGAAGGCTTTTATGTAGGAACTGAGTTAAAGGTAAAGGTGCAGAAATTGACAAAGAGATAAATAATAGAACAATAAAGACATTAAAAGCAATAACAATTACAATGGAACTGGCCCAGTGGTATTAATGAGGTCATCTTAAAGAGCAAACTCCAAGTATCAGGGACACAGTAACAGAAAGCAGATCTTACTAACTCTGTATGAATAGAAGACATAAGCATCAAACTGAGAGCAAATTTGCTGAGACAGCCATACAGTAATTTCTTGTCTCCAAGGATTTTCTACATGCTTCTATGCTTGGGTTTTGCAGAGAGTTTGAGAAGAAAACAGCATCTACTCTGGATAAATCTAGTTCATTGTGTCGAAGGAATGGTTGATAAGCAGTGCTTGGCTAGCTACTCAAAAAAAATAATATATCCCTCATATTCACTACTCTTTTCAAAAGTAATGCAATTACTTTACTTATTACTCCCTGCCAACAGTAATTAGTTACACTACTAGTTATATTACCTTTCTACTACTCCCCACAAAATTGGTAATTGTGTCCGTTCTTCCCAAAATTCAGATTTAGGATGATTAAAATCCACTTTTATTTGTTCAAATCAAATAATGTAATATTTCCATCTTCCAAACTAATTCCAGGATTACAAAAATAAATCCAAGGATGTGATTGGATTGTTGGATTTCAAAAGTAAAAGTAAAAGCAAAAGTACTAATTATTTTTTGGAGGAGTAACTGTTATAGTATTACTATTATATTAGTAATTAGTTACACTACTAGTTACTGGGAAACGTAATATTATTACTAGTAATAAGTTACTGCCCAATACTGTTGATAAATCCATATCAAGCCACATAACAGCTTTACATCCACATTCATTAAACCTATTAAGCGACAGTATAACTACCGGCAAGGTTGGGTCTGATTTCTTTGAAATGTAGTCCATTACTGAAAATGAATTACATGAAAAAATGATGTAATCTGACTTGACTTTGGGATTACTTCAAAATCAAAACGTTGAAAATATTGCACCTCATGCTAAAAAAGAGATCCACAAATATATATTTTTTCTATTTTAACAATTTTACTGCATTTACTGTTGGTCAAATCAATTACAAAAACAGCACACACTCCAGGTGTACTGTGCACCATGTGGGGTGCTATTTCTGTTGTTGTAAGAGGAGCACTTACTTAAAATGTTCTTCTTCCATTTTCAGTGTAAATCAAAATTAATAAAAACTCTATTATCCTGAAATCATCATTGAAAAACAAAAACAAACTTTGATCTGATCTGATCCCTGTTACATGTAATCCATTACTTTCAAACCCTGACTGATATGGCTCAAGGAGGAAAAAAGTATGGCTATACAGTGTGTTGTCCTCACCTGTTCTCCTTTCTCTGTCTTTTCTCTGTCTGTCATGGATCGGTCCACAGGACCAGTACCAATACCTATACAAAGCTCTGCTCAGCCTCGTCAGCACCAAGGGCAGCGGCTCCCGTCTTCTGGCCAGGGACATTAACGGGACCACGGCGTCCATGTCCGACCAGTCTGACCAGGCAGAGAGCATGGAGTCGCTGGTTTGAGAGAGGCCCTGTGGGGGGCCTGGGGCTGAGCTGAGGGCATCCTATGGGTCCAAGCACCCTGCGAGGTCCCTGAGCCCACAAAGGAGGCACTTAACTTTGTAAAACGTCAAGGAACTATGTGGACAAGACTTTTTGAGGCCTTTTTTGCCAGACTCTTGGTTAAAATGAATAACCTGATTACTTTTTTACACTGATAAAAAGTTTTTGATATTTATTTTTTTCGCCATTTTATGTCTTAATGTTCTCCTACTGAAGGGTTTGCACCTGCATTTTTAAGTTTCACGACGGCGTCGGTAGGCAACGAGAAACACTTTTCTGTCTTTTCTTGTTTGCACTATATAATGTCAGTGTTACTGCCTATACTAAAGCTGACCCACTTGGCTTTTCTCTACTCGAGCTCAGATTTTTTTGACATTCCACGGCTTTGGCCCTTATTAAACCCACTGCTTCTGTGAAGGATATTGTTCTGCCCGCCACTTACCAGTTGATTTAGGACAGTGGACGGAGGAAGGCACGGACTCTCCGCCTCAGTAACAAAAAGCTGTTTGACTTCAGCTCAGCGTGACCTCCTCCGCCCCACTCATCTATAGTACTCATATTACCACTCATTTATCACAACAACCGAGATCTTGGAGCATATTGCCACTGAAAAGTAGCGCTTGTTTTCTAAAATGAATTTCCTCTTCACTTTTTTCTTTTGTTGCCTTGTTTTTTGTCACTCTCCCTCTTATTAGCGAGTCACACCCATGTTAGAATACCTAAGGTGGTGTAACAACTGCTACTGTGAAATTTTATTATTGTTTCTTTGTATAATTCATATTATGCTTTTTAATATATGGAAATACTGTATGTATACATATATAAATATATCCTTATCATAATAACTTTGTGATTTTTGTACATGTCCTTTGTGGCCTCCCGCCTCTGGCTGGTCGATTTCCACTGCGTCCTATAGTTTACCACTCCAGTACTCTCAGCTGATTCCCAGCCATCTGGAAGCGGACTCCCTCAGTCCTCTACGTTCTTGTATGCTGCTATGTCATCTGAACTCACACACAAATACACACATACAGAGGCCACCAGTAGGGGGTGATTTTACATTTGCAACATATGACGAACTACAACAGATGATGCAACAACATGACATTCCCCATCTGTCTGAAATAAAGGGGTTTTTTCTGTCATAAATTCATCCTGACAGACAAGCACGGATTGAGAACACAGAGGCCAATGCGTCAGGCCCTCATTTACTCACATGCACCTGTGTGTGTTATTACAGGGTTGAATCAGTGTGATCTGCCGGGGAACAGCAGACTCAAAAATAAGCTCTATGCAACAGGTTGGTTAGGTTCTGGAAATCTGAAACAGGGTTTGAAACAGTCTTTGGGTTCTTAGTGTTAGTCTAGTTGAGATTTGACTGGTGACAGTGGGTTTAGATTTGTTTCATGTTTTAATCTAGTCATTTTATTTTATTTGAGTAAAAACTGCTAAAAAAAAACCTTTGTCTACTTTAGAGTTAGGTGCTTTACATGATACACAGTAAATTTTTGATGGTGATGTAAGAATGGAGAATCAAACATGAAATATTTTTTGTTATGATATCTCTCTGAAATCTGTGTTATTTGATCATGATCTTGTTTCACCCAAGATCATGTGTGAAACACAATCTACACACAGTCCACACACTACATACAACTCAACCCATCTGTCACCACAACCTGATTCAAGTGAGGCAGAGGTGCCAGCTAAGGTTCTGTTAAAATTGTTAAAAAATCGAACTACACTAAATACACAAGCAGTTTTCTGCTTAAATTTCCTATCTGCTAGATTGGCAATATGGCCCCGTTAGAGAGCCAATGTCAAAGTTGGAAGATCATTATTATTATAGTATTTGTCTTATTGTCGACAAATTTGATGAAATGACCAAAACAAAGAAGGTGTTAGTATGTCTCTTAAGTCAGATTTCTCTACCATGTTACCACTCAGCCTCATACTCAAGAAATGAACCTTTAAATTTTGTTTTATTTGAAGAAAGCACACAATAATTTCCAAAAACAAAGCAAATGTTACTCAAATGTGAGTAAAAAAATGTTGGGGACTTTTAAGCTGCGGATAAATACACATTGAGACATATCAGGGTTTGGCTACACATCAGTCATCAAGCATCAATTCATTGTTGGGTTTGATCTTTTCTTTGGATTTGTTGACAACAATGGCAAAACTTTTGCACACCTGTGAATCAGCAGGTGTGTAGGAGAAGACCAAAAGTCGACAATAGGAAACAAAAAACTGTCCTCTTCATCATAACAGCATTTCATTGCACAGACTTTCATCAAGCTGTGTTTTTCCTGATCTGCAACAATAAAAGATTTATAGAATATTGTCAGCTTTATCCTTTTAATTATAACTAATTGGCAGTTGTCGCCAAATTACACACCACTAATTGACCACATGGCCTGACAATCTGTTGCTCTTCTCATTAAACCAGGCATAAACACACAGAAACATTCATTTAAGCTGGTAGGTGGTTTTATCTCCAGTTTCTAGACAAAAGCATTCACCATGTCAATAAAATCCTTGGCTTTGACCAGACATTTTACAGACCTAAGGGGCTCATTTCAGTATGTCACAAACTGGGAAGCTAGTACTCTCATTAACAATTTTTGTCCACTTTGTATTAACGTGATTGATTAGCAAGACAAACCAGAGAGGTGGAGGCCTGTTCAAGATCCGTGCTCGTTGACAGAGGTGTGATCACCCTTTCCAACCTTCCAAGGCCTTGTGTACATAGTTTACATTCTTCACTCCCTTTTCTCCAGAAATTTATTTTTTTGTGGTTTTGTGGCCTACAAGCAAAGAGCTGTCTGAAATGTTTCCTGTTTTAGCTGCAGTGACCCCCCCACCCACCACACACACACACACACACACACACACACACACACACACACACTTCTATACCTAGATATCTGTTTGACATAAGGATGTTCTAATTTAGCCGCTGACTTTGATGATATTCTGTACCTCTGTGATCAATGGTGTGAAATGAACACTTGTAGTTTTGCATTTTGAATGATAATGTGAAAGCATTCTTTTTTTCACACAGCACAAAACAGATAATGTGTTCGAATGCGAGGGGGACAAATGTATTTTGATTTTTAAAAAACTTTTACCAAAGACTTGAATCTTTCCCATGCAGAAAATATATTGAGCAAGCTTTTCTCTCCCTCTTTTGATGATTTAATCATCAACCCCCCCCTACAATATATCTGTATTTCTATCAGTGTCCTTACAAAAGTCTCACCTCAGTATCTGGTATCTGTTTGTTTTAAATTCAGCCAGGTCCTTACTTGCAGTCATTGTTATACACCGTCATTTGGTAGACTGAGCAGACAGAACGGCATTAAAGATTCAAATCATTTCTGTTTCTGTTTCTCTGGCAGTGTTATCTCCACCTTTTCCACCTTGCAGGGAGAAATCCACCATTTCTTTTCTGTTTTTGGGGCATTTATTTTTTTTTGTTGAAGACACACTTTGTCTAAGTGCCAGGTCACACCAGAAAGTGGAATCTTTGAAAAACTGATGAGCTACTACTACTGTAACTTCTAACATGCTAGCTACCTGACAACGTGCTAGTGCTAGTCAGTCAAAGGAGCTTGCCATACTCGTTGGCTTCCTACATCACTAACAGGACAATTCAGTTCATTTAGTTAACAAGCTAAATCAAGGAAATACTATACTACCAATATCCACATATATTATGACTGAATGCAGACCATCATGCATCTCTTTTGTGGAACAGGATGATATCAAATGGAATTGTGTTAATATGATAGCTGCCTCCATTTTGGACTTGGGATCTCCAATCCCTCAAAGTTTTGCACTATCAAGACTTAACAGCATGAATTTGCATGTACTGCGAAATGTACTGGTTTCTGAAATGCTGCTGTTATATATGCTGGTGTGACCCGGTCCTTACAATGGTCACTCTACCATTTTCCCCATTTTCAGGTGATTCTGATCTTTGCGATCATCCAGAATGAAAAGTGTTTTGTGTTGCCTTTGAAGCGCACACACAGCTGTACTGTCAATAAGAAATGTACATATATTTTGTTGCCTCTGTAACCCAGCCCTTCTCTGGAAACTGTGTATGTATTGATCGTGTCAGAGGAAATATTTCATGAGATTTTGAAATTCTATAATTCAAATTTTCAGTATTTCTCGATGATTTTGTAAATCAAGCTTAATTTTTTTACCATTTCTTGACCTTGCATATACCACAAATCTCTTACAAGGTTTCCAGTCTGACACACGTGTCTGGTCTATAATCACAAGTACTTTCAGTCAGTTTTCTCTCAATTTCAACTCACTCACGGCATCGCTATTTGTGGTAGATTTTGTGGAAGCCAGGTGCCTGTGCGTCCAGGTTGTAGTCACTATTGCATTCCAGTTTCCAGCCTCACACCCTCCATTATTGTTCAGGCAGTGATTGTGATATTACAATGTAAACCCTCTTCTTTTGATTAATTTGGCTTTTGGTATTCATCCTCTGGAGACTATGATTCTGTTGTCAGACGTGAACAATAGAATAGCTCTCCTGTAAGTCACTTAATAAGTATCTCTCCATTGACCCGTTTTGGAAAGGTGGCTGCTCGCTCCTCTTTTGTAACATGAATTAAGATGGATTTCTTTTTTTTCTTTTTGTTAAAAGCTATATCAAAGCATTATATTATAGTGTTATTTAATATGTAAATGGTATTGCTATACATAAAATAAAATATGGGTTTTGATGTAATTTTCTGAAATTATTTGTCTGATAATATTTGCTATTTTGTGTATTTTAGTTTTTTCTACAACCTCTGTTACTAGTTTTGAACGTCCACTAGCTTATAGCTCTGATTTGGTCCAACAACTCCTGAAAAGAATATCTTACTTTCTTTAGCATACAAAATGTTTTCATTTTGTTACCAGCTACTTCTTCTACTTCTACTTCTAGTTTAATTGAAGGTGACACTATCGAATCCTTTAATTAAACAAACTTTTAATTAGGCATAGAAATATACTTTAGTAAGGGGTTGAAGATTCTGAATCTGTTCCTATTTATCAAATTGCTAAAGTGACAAATTTGAATGAATACATTTTTTGTTTGAGTTAAAGGTGCAGTAGGTAACTGAAAAATAAAGTTTTGTGATTATTACTCAAATTTTGACTGTGTTCTAACAGTAGTACATGAGACAGATAATCTGTGAAAAAATCAGGTTCCTTTGGGTCCGCCTAGTGCTTCTAATGGTATTAACTAGAATCCACCAGGCCTGATTTTTTTCAAGGATTATCTATCTCAGGTACTACTGGCAGGATATACTGGTAGTTTCAGCAAATATGACAAAAAAAAGTTTATAAAAATGACCTCCTGCAGCTTTGGAATTATCTTAAATTTAAAAGAGCATTTAAAAAGATCTCTGAGAAGCTCCTAGATGGCTGCAGTATAGAGACAGAAAATATATAGATAGGGTAGTTGTAACTGTTATTTACAAATGCATATTTGATATGACGTTACACTACTTTCACCCCCTTTTTTCATTGATTTTGCAATGACTTTGCATGCATTTTCTTATTATCTGAATATGAAGTTAAACATAATGTTACATAAATGTAGGCTACAAAGACTCTGTAGATCCAGACTACTTGTAAATACAATCCATCTGGTGAACACATCAATTAAGGTGTTGACTGACATAGCCACTCTTTTCTTTTCTACCAGTCTGTTTGAAAAGTTCGTACACCTCACTGTCCCTTTGGTTGTGTAGGTTAATTAATGCTGGGGTACACCTCCCTCTCGCTATAATTTAGCTTTTACTCTGAAAATACAGTTTTGCAAAATTGTTCACTTCTGAGATGTCTGCGGGTGAGCCACCACGATGTTGAAAAGATTTACGCCAGCTTTCTAAGTGACGTGATGATGACAGCAGGACCAGTAGTATCTTACTGGGAGGTAGAGCCTAGGTGGTTGAAATCTAGGTGATTTTTCAACTGTACAGGGCCTCAATAGCTTAGCTGCCCACCAGTTTGTTCTCTGACTTTTACTGTGAAAAAAGATCCTGTTCCACAGTCACTTCTGCCAACTGCCTCCGTCCAACCACATCACCTGTCTGTGTTTTTCAGTTGTCTGTCTGCCATTAGATAAAACTGTTTACCAGCACAAAAGACTCCCCTGCACCCACACATGCAGCAGATCCCTCCAATCAACAGCAGGATCTTCTGTTGTCTGCCACCTTTCCCATGTTCCTCAGTCAATCTTGGAAGCAACTCCCTGGAGTGGCTGTGAGCGGTGTTACTAAAATTGTGCTGTAGTTTGGAGGAATTTGCTGTACATGTTGGTGCAGGAGAGTCTTCTGTGGAGTTAAACAGCTTTGACCAATGGCAGACAGACAATTGATGAAAACAGACAGGTGACTGATGGTCTGGCTGGACAGGCTGTGGCTCAGAGGCAGAGTGGGTCGTTCCTTAATTGGAAGGTTGTGGGTTCAATCCCTGGCTCCTGGTGCCACATGTCGAAGTATCCTTGAGCAAGATACTGAACCCCAAATTGCTCCCGATGCATGGTGTGTGTGTGTGTGTGTGTGTGTGTGTATGAATGTAAGAAAGGTGCTATACAAGTACAGGTCCATTTACTATTTACAGAGGCAGTTGAATGAATGGCAGAAGTGACTGTAGAGTGTGATCTTTTTTCAGTGGAACAGCCAAAAGTCAAGTTGGTTGGTAGTTGAGAGACCAAAGCACTGAGAAGTTGGTTAACTGAGGAATCGAGCAGCCAACATACCAAGGCCGTGGGCAGCTAAAGAGGCTTGCCCTGTCAGCTAGTTTTTGGACAGCTTGTGTTAATTCAACCTCCCAGTCAGCTGGCCTCTGATCTGCTATCCTTCAACCTGCATCCAGTACAGAAAGTTTAGCATCTTACCTCAAGCAAGCATGTGGGACGTAGTGTTAAAGCGCTTTGAGTGGTTGGAAGACTAGAAAGGCTCTATACAAGTACAGGTCCATTTACCATTTACCATTTACCATGTTGTCTGCTAGCTTAGAAACTACTGGCCTGCTTTCTAGTCATTTAACCTCGATCCTGGAAAGCTCTATACTGAATCTCCATCAGCTTGCCTCAGGACTCCTACGCTGCAGCTTTGCCTGGTCTCGGAATGTGCCTCTGTATGTTAGCTGCCAAATTACCTCAGTACCTCAGCTGCCCACCACCTTGGTCTCTCAAACGCCCACAACATTGTTATCTGACTTCTCCAAAGATCTTGCTCTACAGCCAACGTTCTTAACCTCTTGTCTGCCCCTCTGGGTGGATTCCTGTAGCCAGCTCATGGGAGGCAAATCTAGCGTGGTCAGGAGAAAGGCAGTAGTCTCCCACTGACCGCCATTACCAAACTCCTGGCTGACCTTCCAAGCATCTCTGGCACATTCACCACCTGTCCCTCAGTGGTAGCCTACTGCCTTTCTCTCCTGACCACGTTGGAATTTCCTCCATTGAGCTGGCTATGGGTAGACACTTAGAGGTGCAGCCAGGAGATTAAGAAAGCTGCTGACAAAAGAAGATCCAGCTGTAGGTTGGAGGAAGGGGCTGGACTGGCTGGTGCAGGAGAGTATTTGGTCATGGTAAACAGCTTTGGCTAATGACAAACAGACAATTGAAAAGCACAGACATGGGATTGATGAGCTGGCTGGAAAAGTCAGAGAATAAGGTAGTGGGCTTTTGAGAGACCAAGATGCTGGGGAGCTGAAGTACTCAGGTATTGGATAGCTGATATAAACAGTCACATTACGCTACTAGGGAAGGCTGCAGCCAAGGAATTCCAAGGCAAGCTGATGGATATTCAGTCTGGAGCTTCACACCATCTGAATTACCCTGTCTCAGCAGCAACAACACACAGATGTGTTTTATACAAAACACTGCTGTCTTTAGTACTTTGCATACCTTGTAAATTTTCTGGGGTGCCCACATAGCTCAGCTGGTAGATCTGGCGCCCCCATGTGCTAAGGCTGAGTACTTGCTGCAGTTGCCAACTCTGACCTATGATCTGTTGCTGTGTGTCATTCCTTCTCTCTCTCCCTCCCCGCTTTCCTGTCACTCTTCAGCTGTCACTGTCAATTAAAGCCAATAAAAGCCGCCAAAAATATATCACATCTTTTGGATTGTCACGGAGAATGCAAGTCGCATCCCTACATAGAAAGACAGAAAAATCAGTCCACAGGCAAAGTTACATTACAGCCTGTTCACACATTGGCAATAAAAAGTGATTAATACATAAAAAGTCCTACATATGGTACCTTTAATTAATAAGGTGGGTGCCATAGGCTAGGCAGTCATCAAACCTGTCTGGGTGATCAGAATATGGCTGCTTCCTTTTAACCCTTATGTCACTTTTAGTTCACAGGCATCTGATGGAAAACAAAATACAATGTTTCAGCAAATGTTTTAAATGTTTTTTTTCTAACAGACATTTGTTGTTATATGATATTACATTACATTGTGTATGTGCATGTATATGTGTATATAAATAACTGTATATATTTTTTTATATTTATTCTATTTTATTTATCTTTTATGTTATTCTATGAATTTAATTCATTTCATTATACAACCTTGTGTTATAATTCAATTCAATTCAATTTTATTTTATTTGTATAGCACCAATTCATAACAGAAGTTATCTCAGGACACTTTTCAAATAGAGCAGGTCTAGACCGAACTCTTTAACATTAATTACAGAGACCCAACAGTACCACCATGAGCAAGACCTTGGAGACGGCGGCAAGGAAAAACTCTCTCTAGGTGGGTGGCCTCGACCAATGAGAAATAATGATGTATACATTTCCTTTATTCATTCATACCTTGATATTAGACTGCTGATCTCTAACAAAATAAAAATATAAATTAATTTCTATCAGAACAGATATATTTGTGAATATAAAGCATTACTTATGTTTTAGGCAAACAGAAAATTTAGATTTTCTTTCTATTTTAAATGTATTTATCTACATAAGATAGATAGATAGATGGATAGCAGCCAGGTACATTTACATACATACAATAAAATACAACAATAGAATAAAAAAGATGTAATAGGTAGGTAAGGTGCAAAGAAGTTGTAGTTGCAAGATGGTAGTAATAGTACTGATGATATGATGGTAGTGTTATTGTTAATAACAGTATATAATAATAATAATAATAATAAAAATAATATAATAACATGTTGTACATGTGTACACATATACAGTAATATTGACATAATGTAAACATGTGTCATATATCATATATTCAGCCTGTGCAAGTTGTGCATACATACATACATACTGTAATATAAATACACAATAGTATGTACACACACACACCTATATATATACACAAGATATGATACGATATATAGCATATGTACAATAGATACTTGACTATACAAGAAAGATATACATACAACAGATAATATATTATATATTGTAATATAATAATAACAATATAATTATTATTATTAATATAATAATAATATATTGTATTAATATGATATATAATATCAACATGGTTTATATTAACACATATCACATATGATAGTATATAATGAAGTATATGTTCCACAGGTAGATTTAGTCCAGTTCTGTGATTGTGGATCTGACAGAGGCAGATGAGTTATACAGTCTTATAACAGTGGGGAGGAACGATCTCCTGTATCGTTCCTTAGAGCAGTGTGGTTGAATGAGTCTGTTGCTGAAGCTGCTCTTTAGCTTGTCCAGTGTTGTGTAGAGGGGGTGGGAAGGATTGTCCATGATTGCCAGCAGTTTTGCCAGCATCCTCTCCTCCACCACCTCCTCCAGGGTGACAAGCTTCAAGCCAACAACAGATTCAGCCTTTTTGATGAGTTTGTTCAGTCTGTTGGCGTCCTTTGCCTTGATGCCCGTACCCCAGGACACCGCAGCAAAGAAGATGGTGCTCGCCACAACAGACTGATAGAACATCTGTTACATCCTGTTGCAGACATTGAAGGACCTGAGCCTCCTTGGGAAGTAAAGCCGGCTCAGGTCCTTCTCATAAACGGCCTCTGTATTTGTGGACCAGTCCAGTTTATTGTCCAGTGTGACACCCAAGTACTTATACGCCGACACCGTATCCACATCTGTCCCACCGATGTTGACAGGAGAGGGCAGGGGCTTGTTCCTCCTAAAATCCACCACCATCTCCTTTGTCTTGCCACGTTCAGCTGCAGGTGGTTCTCCCCACACCACTTCACAAAACGGTCAACCAGGTCCCTGTACTCAACCTCCCTCCCACCCTCAACAAACCCCAAGATAGCCGTGTCATCAAAGAATTTCTGAAGATGACACGACTCAGTGCAGTACTTAAAGTCTGCAGTGTAGGTGGTGAAGAGGAAGGGAGACAGTACAGTTCCCTGATGAGGATGTTTTCCAGAGCACTGGCACTCTCTGAAGGTGCAGACTGAGGTTGAAGAGGTGCTGGACAGAGCTGGCTGGAAATTGCCTCAATCTGGGGATGAACTACACATTAGGTCAGCAATATAACCATATATATGTAGTCTTTGTGACGTCACCCATTGGTTTTTGAAGAGCCGTTGAGAAGCTCAGTGTGGTCATCGTCATCTTGGGAGACTCCGATGGAAATTTTGGCGATGGAAAAACTGACATGGCTATTTTTTAAAGGGATCCCTTGACCTCTGACCTCAAGATATCTGAATGAAAATGGATTCCATGGGAACCCACAATACTCCACTTTGCAGACATGCCTGATTTATTATAATCACATGCATTTTTGGGGCAAAAACATGCAGTTATTTAATGTGGTATAAATGTGTTTGTTTTGCCAAGTGTATTTGAATATTTCTGCATACTGGGCTCCATAAACAGTATTGGAATGGCATAAATTGGGAATGACTGGAAAGTGGAGGCACATACTTCATGTCACCCCTGCATAATTCAGTGCCCTTCTTGTGCCACCACAGTCAAAAAAGTCTGGAAGAGTGTTAGACTGTTGATCTACATTCTGCCTAGATACTGTGAAGACCCACTCCACCTTGTCTTCCTGTTCCTGGTTGTGTCTTGTCTTGTTTTCTGTGCAGGTACTTAAAGTGGGCGTGGCAGAGGGTCTCAGCAAATTGGACACACCTGAGGCCTGTGTGCCATGCGCCTTTAAAAACCCTCTGGGAGCTCAGTACTGTCTCTCTCTCCTCCCTGAGACAACTATCTGGTTTTTGGGTTTAATTGTCTTGCTGCGTCTTATTACAACACAACACAGCACTCATACACTTCTCCACTCATGCATTCACTTACACCACTGATCCTACTGATTTCACATACTACTGTTAGTTTACATTACTAAGTTTACAATATTAAGAAGTAAGTAAGTAAAGCTTTATTTATGTAGCACCTTTCTGACAGAGATCCAAAGTGCTTTACAAACCACAAATAAACATAAGTGTATAACCACACCCAATGAAACAAACATAGGGAGCATGTAAATACAAAAAAAGGAAGATAAGACAAGAGGGAAGGATAAATGAAAAGAGAGACGACAGATGAGGAAACAAACAGGAGATCTATAAAAAGGCTTGCCTGTAGAGGTTTTGAGCAGCGGTTTAAAACAGTCCACAGATTCAGTGACTCAGAGTGATTGGGGAAGACTGTTCCACAATGTTGGGGCTAAAACAGCAAAGGTACAGTCACCTGTTTTACAGTTAGAGCGTGGAATGGATAAAAGGCAGAGATTTGAGGAGTGAAGTGGCGAGGAGTGGAATGAGGAACAAGGAGATCAAATGTAACTGGGGCAAGGTCATGAAGTGCCTTATATGTAATCCGTAAGATCTTATAGTTGATCCTGAATTTTACAGGAAGCCAGTGAAGGGAGGCAAGAACAGGAGTAATGTGAGACAGACGGCTGCATGTTGTACTAACTGTAAACGATTTAACGAAGCCTGACTGAGGCACGTGTAGAGGGAGTTACAGTAATCCAGACGGGACAAAATGAAGCTGTGAATGAATCGCTCAAGACAGACAGGATAAGGATAGGACAGGAAAGGATAACACATGTCTGACTCCACAACCGAGAAAATGTTCAACTGATACAAACACAACGGAAAATCCGTGTGCTTCTAAATCATCAAGTGCTTTCTGGAAGAGAACCAACAGGGGGCAGCAGATACCTCGTGTCTTCATTTCTATGGTTACTGAACGCCTCAGAAAGAGATAAACATTAGAGCTTCCGGACAAATGTTTCAAAGTACTGACACAAATAGAACGTTTTTAATTAAACACATTAAGCCGAATTCTAATACATTATACGTTATTAAAGAATAATGTAAAAAAACTTTTTTCCAGAAACAGCAGAGAGACCTTTTCAGTGAAAAAACAGGCACTACCGGCGTTTTTCTCCGTCAACAAATGGCGCTTTTATTTTGAAGTACAAATCCCTTCCCTTCCGCTAGTGTTATGTCAAACTGGGGTTAGCTTGGTGGCTGCAGCCCGGAGGTCACAATGTCGGCGTCTGTCCCTGAAGAACTGGAACTACTTGAGAAACACGAGGAGATGTGAGTGTGTCATTTTTAATATGAACCAGTACTGACCCAGTACTGACCCAGTTTGACCGTGAGCAGTGTCAGTGGGACGTTCTGTCACTATTCCACGACGAGTAAAGTTCGACTGACTCACACACACAGTGAGCCGTGAGGACATGTTTGTTGTGTTCACGTGAACATGTAAGACATCCAGAGAACTCATATTAAACAAACACTGTAAACCTAGATCAGTTCATTGAACTCAAATATTGTTGAAATCGTGTAAATTAAAAACATTATTGATCAAAGTAGCTTTAGTAACTTTAAGTGACACTGACTTAAGTTAATTAAGTCATTTTTATTTGTACTGTGAAAACAAAATACAGAGTAAAAAGTACTTCATCGGGAATGTTTCTGTAACTTATAAAACTGAGTTTGTGTCACTTAAAATGACATTCTTCATCAAGAATCTTAGACTACTTAGTTAGTTGACTTTACGTACTTTTTCTTTGTAACAGTGTGTTAATCCGTTAGCAGTGGAATATGAAGGCTAGCTCTGTCTGTCTGTCTGTCTGTCTGACACACTGGATCTCTCCTCGGTGTGTCTCCTCAGTTTAGGGCGGAGGGCGGAGCTGCTGGAGCGGATGGAGAGTCGCAGAGAGCGGCTGATCATGGAGAGGAAGCAGCGGCTGAAAGAGTCAGAGGCTGCTGGCCACAGGAACGCCACACTGCTGCAGGTAGGACGGGCTGATATCACACACTGCTGCAGGTAGGACGGGCTGATATCACACACTGCTGCAGGTAGGACGGGCTGATATCACACACTGCTGCAGGTAGGACGGGCTGATATCACACACTGCTGCAGGTAGGACGGGCTGATATCACACACTGCTGCAGGTAGGACGGGCTGATATCACACACTGCTGCAGGTAGGACGGGCTGATGTTACTGCAGGTACTGAAGCTCCTACACGCCTGTGGTTCACTCACACTCAGGTTGATTAGAGCTCTTCTCGGGACTGTGTGGACACGTACAGACTGTGGACACGTACAGACTGTGGACACGTACAGACTGTGCTCGATTGACACCTCACTGGTCGTCCAGTATGGGACGATATGACAATTTAATGTCACAATTTCCCTGGCTAAAATAATTACAATACAGTGTTATCGAGATATATCAAAATAGAATTAAAATTCTTAAAATGGCACTAAAACATAGACTACTGCAAGTTTGTAAAGAAGTAAATATTTTTTTGCATCTCAGATAGGACATCTCATCTCCCTGTCTGGATACTACGGAGCCCCTCTGATGACATGGTCAAAAAAATAAATAAATTGTGGCCAAAGCTATAACTTGCACACGAAATACTAATTAATAATATTGATATCATTCCTGGACAGCTGGGTAAGGAAATCGAGCGCACCTTCTCTAGAACCTGTAATATCCTACGCACGGAGCCCCGTACCTACATGATGTCCTTAAGGTGAGTGTCCTTTCTTATTCTGTTCTAGTCAGTATCTTGTTATCTCGCATTAAGGCAGTTATTTATTTAGGCCTATGTTTGAGACTTTGTTATAACGGGTAGCCTATCTGCTGACGTCTCACCCGACTTACAAACTTCTTATCCTCATCCTGTTACTAACGTTACACGTTGTTTTGTTGTGCTAATATGTAGCCGTAAACTCATTTGTTTATGTAGGAGCTGCAGCCCTGCACATACATCAGGACACTTTAAGTAGAGCTGAGGGGTGTAGGCATACCACCAAGTGAGGTATGTTGAGCATAAAACCAGAGTTTTCTGTGTCACGAAGGTGTCTCTCTTTTAACCTGGCTAGATCACCATGCTAACTTATGCTGCAGACCTAACCTGGTCCAGACCAAATTCTGTTCACAGTGAAATCGGCTTAAAAAGTGTCTTTGTCACTGATCATCTCCTTTGAAAGTGGCATCATGTGTGTCAGACTCTCAGCTGAGGGAATACATAGGCTATATGAACCGCAGCGTTTAATGATGCCACCGGACGAAGCCGTGCAGTTACAGTAGCGCTCACTGTATGTATCACGTTGCCGAGAGAACCTATAGCCTATCAGTGATCAGAATCTACTTTGTATTGATTTGCAGGTTGTTGTTGCTCTGACTGAACTACTGAATGTGTCTGTAGTGTTCTCTGGACATTTGGCCTTCAATAAAATCACAGAAGATTAAAAGTTCACTATATTATTGATCAGTCTGACGTTTACCTGCAGATGAAATGTGCTATAATTCCTTTAAACCATTATGTTAACACTGATGTTTTTATGCTTGGTCCTGTTTTACACTGCTGGTATATTACAGCTAATAGAACCCTGATTAGAAAATTGCTCAATCCTTTATTACCACAGATAATATATGATCAATAAAAATCATTCCACTTTGATTTGCCAAAGACTAAAGTGATTTCATAGGACAGTGTCAGAGCTTGAGCATAATGTTTAAATCAGCTGCATCAAGTTTAAAGTTTCAGAGCTCTACAATGTGCAGCTGTCACCAGAAATACGGGAGGCATTGAGAGTAAATAAATATATTAATTTACACTGTAATACAGTGACTGTATTTGCAGCAATGGTGTTGCTTTTTGCAACAATAATAATAATAATAATAATAATAATAATAATAGCAGGGACATGGGGCAATATGTGATTTGGAATCATAGATCCAGAATCTGGAAAATCTACAACTTGTTCATTCATTTTGTTTTCCTGTGGTTTAGAAGTCAACTATGGATACTCGGCTGCAAGAATTTTTGATTGACTTGAAGAAGATGTGATCCAGAAACTTGAAGATGAGAATGAATTTTTGTGTGTGTGTGTGTGTGTGTGTGTGTGTTTGTTTCCAAACAGAAGATTATTATATACTGAAAGTTTGTGTAGAACATGGTCACACCACAACAGAGAGGTTCAATGCTCAAATTCAGATGCCCTCTAAAAAATTTTTTTTTTAATTTTTTATTTTATAAAAAAAAACAACTTTTTTATAAAAAAAATTAAAAAAAATTTTTTTTTTTTTAATTTAAAAAAAAAAAAAAAAAAAAAAAAAAAAAAAAAAAAAAAAAAAAAAAAAAAAAAAAAAAATAATGATGTGAATAACTACACCCTTATACCACCAATATAGGATATCCATTGGCATTCTAGACAGCACTCAGCACTCTCTGAGGTTGCAGAAGCAGAGGGGAGTGCTGGGACAGAAGCAGAGTAATACATTGCTGGGGACGGGGACAGCAACACAGCAACAAACATATTTTAGTCACCTAAAAGAAGTCCCACCTCAAAAGAATACACCAGGTTACCTGTACACTATATTAGGAATATTTTCAGTGCTTCACCTGGTGGGAAAACTGACGTTTCATTTGACACTAACCATAGAACTCCCATATGCCTACGCCTAAGGTGCATCTGTGGTTGCTGCACACTGTATTACTCCGGTTAGTGCCAAAAGAAACAACTACTTTATGAGCAGGTGAAGGGCTGAAAATATTCCAAATACAGCGTACAGTTACAGTTCTACAAACTGGGAGAGTGCTGAGCGCTGTCTACTGCGGGTACACTGACTAGGCATAAGTACAGCTCCACTTCAAATACCAAAATCCAATTGATTAAGCATGTTTTATATTATTATTACAGTTTGTAGCAACCCCAGTAAAAACAAGAATGTGAGCCTTGGCTGATGTTTCAAAGGTGTTTAAAAATAAATTAGTCGTTTACAGAAGTGGTTTCCACTTTAAAGAAGTTTAAATAACATTATTTTGTAACTATCAGTATGATGCTGGCTAACAGGAGGTTTGAAAACTGTTCTTATCCTGTTATGATGTACAAAATACAACCTGTTCTGTTTTTGACTATGGTGTATTTTGAAAAAGACCAGTAAACCATTCAAGTTTGTAGAAAATGTTGGTGTCCTCTCTGTTACATTCTATACATCTTTACACTTGAACATTTCTAATGACACCACCCATAGTTATTTTACGCCTCACTCTCTAGTGTTCTAAATGTGTTGTGATTTGTTATGAAAGACAGTTCTTTATCAAACATTGGATTGTTTTAATCTCTTCCACAAAAACAAAAACAGAGTCTCAGGAAACATACAGAGCATTGATGATACAACCTTTATAATAATACACTATACAGTAGCCTACTTGGTCTTCTTGTCTAATTGATCATAACATTAGATTTATGATATCATTGCCAGTCTGTGTGGGTGCTGTCCAGGGTGCTATTGTCCTTGTTAGAGATGGATACATTTTTTTTTGACAAGTTTAATATTAATTGAAGGATAATAACTCTAGCCCAAAAGATTCATTTTGTCTAACTTGTACAACTATTTGAGTCAAACATTTCTAATTTTCTAGCTAACAATAGCTATCAATACTTAATGATGAGTTAGTTAACTGACAGATCGCTAAAACTGAAAACAGTAAGTTATACAGTCTTTTCTGATTATTTTGGTTTAAACAAAGACAAGATAACCACACAAACATGAAAAGTAATATGTTCATTATGCTGTAAAAACGTGCTAAAGTACCAAATGTACTACACAATTTGTTAAATAGCCTTAAATAACTGTGGACGAACCGCCTGGGACATGGTAGATGGGAACTCCAAGCTTGATTCCTCCATTATTATTGTGCACAAATCAAACACGTCCACATCACATGGGACTGAACTGACAAATGTTCAGCTGTCTTTACATGTGGTCAAATCTTCAGTCAGTGAAACAAGACAGTCTTCTGCACCCCAAAGGTGAGGGGCCATGTACATGACATCAGGTATCCCACTGGGCACATTGGTGTTCTTGGAGGGCCTTATAACACCTCAGATGTTATTTAATACCTCCTGTTGAAGCAACAAGAACAATTAAGTCACAGCTGGCATACAGTGCATTTTAAAACAGTGATTAGGGCCTATAATAGTAAAGTCCTCTTTATTATCTGCCTTTGCAGTGGGTAAGGAAATACCAAAGTTTGTGTTAAGCAAATAAAAGTAGCTTAAATTACATTGTGATGTGTCTTATTTCCACAACAGTCTAAAGAATCAATACATCACACACATTACATAAACAAACTCACAGTGGCTTAAATCTCTAAGATTACATGAAGGTAATGTAGAGTTGATGGTACAGTTTCTCGGTTTCTTGCTGTGATCATAATATAAGCTATTTACCTGAATGATTGGCATGAAACAGAACTGTGACAGAGCTTTGTTGAGCTTTCAGTTTGTCATATGAGTCAATGTGCCACACAAAGTGAGGTCCCTGACCAAAATAATGCCTCCTTTGGAGACGTCAGCTCTGGCGAACTTGGGAACCGATGGGGTCCAGTAGAGAGAGGAGGATCCTGACGTCTTCTTTTCTGATAGAAATACTGTGTTGTTTACACTTTGTAAACACCCACCGGTAACCGTGATCCTTTCCAGGGCCTTGCAGTTGGTCAAAAATGAAATCAGTTGTCCAAGTCGTACCTTCGCCGGTAAAGCAACATGGCTCTCAATATCCTGTTTAAATGTCTCTCTGTAATGATGGTTCCTTGCAATGCCAGGCTTTTCAGAATGTCTTTGTAGCTCATTCCCAGCCTAAAATAAAATTCTATTGTACTGTCCCTGTCCATCGTGTAGCTTTAGCCCCTCTTATGCCTCTACCTTAGACCTTAGAGAAGGTGTGCTCGATTTGCTTACCCAGCTGTCCAGGAATGATGAATATTATGAATTAGTATTTTTCACGAAATACTAATTCATAATATTAATAATTAGTATTTCGTGTGCACATTATAGCTATATTGTGGCCACAATTACATTTTTTTTTTTTTTGACCATGTCATCAGAGGGGCTCCGTAGGATACAGTGTCGGAGGCAGCAATCTGTTCGTTCCTGTGAGAGCTGCTCAGTGGTGCATGGAGCCAAAAAGCCACTTCCTGCTGCAAAGGAAGGGGATAAAATGATTTCATCATGTGGCTCTTGTAGACTTTCCAAATGTTATTGGACTGAATAAGAGCTGCACAAGACAATCAAAGCATTATTGAAATCGCAATACGGCAAAGTGCAATATCCAAATGCCAGAAGCAGTTTTTTAATAAAGGTAAAATGTGTAACAAACACCATTATAATGAAGTACTGTAGTCCTGAAAAGAGGTCCTGGCCTACAGAACTACAACAAAAACACATCATGATTTGAATAGTTTTTTTCAGTGAAATTACATTTATGATAAAAAATGATATTTCCTGCACTAATTGTGAGTCATTGAAATCGCAATGTCTGTAAAAAACAACAACATTGCAATACAATGCTTTTAGTATATTGTGCAGCCCTAGACTGAATGGATCATATTCTAATAGTGAAACGAGTCATTTCACAGGGGGTGTGATGTTCAAAAAAATGTATTCATTGCTTCCCAGCTGCTTCTTTCACAATGTAAGCGAATGATAAAGTATTTTTGTTTCTAATTGCATGGTTTGACCACTATGTAAAATCGGCTTCAAATCCCAGTGCTCTTCCTGGGGCCTTAAGATTTTGGAATGACTTGAAGGATGCAGGCTTCCCCTTGTGGCAATTCAAAATAAATCAGTACAGGACTCTACTCTAGTGAGCTAGGCAGCTTTTTGAAGTCAAGCCATGTGACGATCTTGATGATCATCCTGATCCCTGATTATTCCCATAATGCAAATTCACCACCATAAACTTATTGGATAGTTTTTATTCACGATGCAGGATAATATTGTATATTGTCCCTACTGTCTAAACAAGAGTACAAAAAATGATATTTTTTTTAAGTTAACAGTGTAGAGCCATTACAGGTAAATCTACTGTGGCTGTGTAATCCAGTAACTCATTGTAGGGCTCATTTTAATGTTACATTTTAAACATTTAGATAAATATTGAGGTTAATTGAATAAATTGTAAGACCAAGATTTGCATAAAGATGAACGAGTGTGTGAATGAATGTTAGCTCTCTGTTACTGCAGGACTTACAGAAGATAGAGGATCGTCTGAGAGGAAGACAGCTGCCACGGCCAAATCTCTTGGCTCTGGAGGTAACAAGTTGTTGTTACGGTAGCTGAAAGAGGATTCTAAATTATTGTTCCACTTGTGGCAATTATCAGTCTAAGATCTTGTGGCATGAATAAGAAGCCTTTTTCTTTTCAAAATAAAGCTTGGTGTGCAATGGTGTAAAATAAATATTTATAGATTTTCTTACAAGAGATACGGTTTACAGACCAACGCTGCTTTTGGCAGTTTTAAAGCATCAATGTAGCTGATAGAGTGAAGTATTAAGGCCTCATTCCTCCATTATCACCAGCATTTAAAGCTTCACATTAACACCACTTCAGCAAATTAAAATACCTTTATGTGAGATTCTAAAATAGAATATCACTTAAGCACCATAATTACAAATCATGTATATTTAATGTGAGTGCTGACTATTTTCTAAAGCAGTTTCTTTTAGACTGAATAACCTGCATGATAGAGTCAGACGTGGTGACTTTTTAACGGTAAGCTTTATCTCGTTTTTTTGTTCTAGACAAGATATTGGGTGTCTGTGGAAGAGTCCATCCCGGCCTGGGAGCACTTCCTCTTGGCTAAAGGTCCACATCCTACTGATGGTCCAGGACAGCCACCCAGGAGAGCTAAACAGAAACCCAGCATAGCTAAAGACCAGGGTCTGCCTCCTCGCCCAAAAGCCAGGACTGCTCGATAGGTGAGCGGTGGTGGTGGTGGTGATGGTGCCACTGTAGTCTGAAACATAGCTTTGATGGTCACATTCCAATACCCCGTTGACCGCTCTCCAGACCAGGGGTGGACACAGGTTGGGGAATCGGAGGCTTTGGTGAACAGGATGGAAAATGCTTCAGTGATGCCAACATTTAAACATTATTTAACCGACTCACCAAAACGAGTGAAAGAAAAATAGTAAATCATTTTAACAATATTTGAGCCCTTCACTCAGATTGCTCACTCAGAACTCAAATGTTAGTAAGTCAAGCAGCGTGGTACGACACTTGACAGACATGGAACGGATAAGCACTGCTTTTTCATTTGGCAGTCAAGCTGTTTGAACCAGACGCAAAGCGGAACGGACTTGCAACACTCTTTTGGTGTTTTTTCTATTGACTGACGAAAAACAGCCAAGTGCGGAGTTTCCCATGAACGCTGACCTACCCATCTACCTGTAAATAATTTGAGACCCTTTATCAGAACCTCCATCATTAAAAAATGAAGAGGAAAACTAGATTCAAGTATGTCAATACTAGACCTACTGGTAAATGATAGGAATTTGTGAGCAAGTGCTGTCCTGTATTGTCAGAAAACTCCTGGAAAGGTCCTGGAAAATAATTTTTCTTAAAGTGTAAACCCCAACATTCCAATGTCAATCTTCCATCATGTACACTGATCTTAATTATTGCATAGTTTAATGAGTTTGTAAAGGAGAATTAGGCTTCTGTGTGTTTTAGCCCACACAGTCTATAAATAGCTGTTAATATTTAAAACTATTATAATAAAGGACTAAGTGCAGTCCATTTACCACATACCTCAAGCAGACGTGAATAAAAAGAGAATTATCTTCAGTTCAACTCATAGACAATACATTCACTTTAAGGTTTATCAAGAGAGGCTGCAATGATGGTTAAAGTGTCAATAGATAAAAAAAAGATATGTGGTCTAAAGATCCTTTATTATTATAGTTTTAAATAGGCTAATATAAGCGCATATAAAGCCTTTCTAGTCTTCCGACCACTTCCGACACTACGTGCCACATTAACCCTTTCACACACATTCACTCAGCGATGGCAAAGTCCATCAAACAGAAACTAACTCATTCATTCATATTCACACACCGATGCACAGTAGTGTTCAGTATCCTGCTCAAGCACACTTCGACATGCAGTGGGGGGAGCGGGGATCGAACCAACACCTCTGCCGTTCCTGCAGTGTAGCATACTGTACTCGGCCACACACAACCTCATAGCTGAGCGTGCACACACACATTGATTTCGAGCATGTGGGGGTGGCAGTGGTACAGACATGCAGGTTTCTTTATCTTTATGCTGGCATTGTTTTGAAGCAAAAGCTAGTGGTCATAAAATGTTCACAGAGAAATGCAACTATTTTATTCAAAGCAAAAGTAGCCGGCTAGACTTCAATCAGCAGTTGGCTGTTCAGCAGCCAGTGCTTATGGGAAGCTCTGGTCTCCTGTATCAGAAGGGCATGCTCCTTCTATACAGAGACATCATATACTGAAATATGTTTGCAACTGATAGCTGCTATTAATTTCAGTAATGGTAAATGGACCTGTACTTGTATAGTGCCTTTCTAGATCTTCTGATCAATCAGAAGATCTAGACTACATGGCACATTCACCCTTTCACACACATTCACTCAGTGATGGCAAAGTCCATTGAACAGAAACTAACTCATTCATACACATTCACACACCGATGCACGGCATCTGGAGCAATTTGGGGTTCAGTATCTTGCTCAAGGATACTTCGACATGTGGCACCAGCCGGGGATCGATCAACAACAGGAGTGATAAAAAAAAGAAGATATTGTAGTTGCCAAAAGTTATTATAGTTACCTAAAACAAAACTGAAAACTAAAACTAAGTGTGAACAAAACATTTTAGTTTACTGAAATCTAAAAACTACACTTTAGAATAAGAACCAAAACTAACGAACAATAACATGTATTAACAAAACTAACTCAAAGAAAATATATCTGGAAACGTCCTTAGTTTTTGTCAATTTGGTCAAATTTGTCAACACAACAAGCGTTGGTGCATCCGTTTATTGAGACTGTGAGTCAATGTGTTTGTATTGTAATACCTATTCTGAACTTCATAAATCTTGCCCCTGACAAATATTACAATGGAAAAAACTAATAAATTGAACTGAAACAAGCAAACCCACCCTGGAAACTAACTGAAACTAAACTGAACTTAAAACAAAAATAAAAACTACTGGAAAACACACAAACTATAATAACTCTGGTTGTTGCCTCTAATGATCTCAGTCATTCACTCCCATGGTGTTTGTATTGAAAGCAAAATGTTGATGTTGTGGGAGCAGAACAACTCGCAGAATAACCTCACACTGTGTCCATCTTGACAGTAAGGTGTTGTCTTGGTCTGCTGACCTCCTGAATAGAGGTTTTCTTTATGTTTGCAGCATTATATCAGAACCACTAGAGGGAGCCAGTGTCATAGATAAGTGTCTGGTGAAGCCCCGTCTATCTGTAGTTTTTTCACAACAGACTTATCCTGTAGGGTCCATAAACAACTCTGATTCTGCTAAAATTCAGTTTGGACAGTCAGGGCTCAACTAGTAGCCTGATAATCAGACTGGATTACTGTTTTGGTTTTACTTGGATTATTCATTGCGTATTTGAAATGCCAGAAAAATCTGAGATGTGAGCAGCGACTCCAAGGTCTGCTGCCTGTCTTCATAAATAAAACTTCTCAATTATCCACCAGTTGTGTCTACATATTGTGATAAGAATAAAAACATTTTCTGATATATGATATGGCAAAATATCTGATCAGATTACATACAAATATCTAAAGATATAAATACAAACCTTTTTGTTTTTATTGTTAATTTGGACAATAGAAATTGTACAATATGATCTGCAAGCCTTAGAGGTCAATTCAGGCTCTTCACATTATTTTATAAATGTCAAATCACCATATCACATTCCAGTGTGAACAGGTCGTGGTCCTGAACTGACCCGCATGACAAATCGATCTAGAATAGATAGAGAGTGACATAAAAGCCACATGGATGCTGACATGACTGTTCACACTTTGGTAAAAAAAAAAATCCGACCTGTATTTGATCTAGGACTACATATGAAAGTGGCTAGAATCAGAATTTGAAAAGATCCATGTGATTGGTGCTGTTCACACTGTCATGAAAAAAACAGACCTGAGTGACAAATGAGCAAAAAAATCTGATTTGGGCCAACATAGCCTTTGAGAGTCTATTCTCAAAAGAATCTATTTTGTAAATTTGTTACATAACATCGTTTATATTAAACAATTAAACTAATTTTATCTGTGCATATATATAGTCTTGAAATAAATTAGACTTTGGTATTAAAATGGGGTACATTGGTAAATTTGTCTGTGGCCCTCCAGCTGTATGAGGCCTCGGTTTTGTCAGTTTGTCAGCAGCTATGCCTATGCAGTATGACTGCTTCCATTCATGGGGTTACAGGGGGTCACAACAACAACACATCACGTATTTTCTGTGGCTGATTTAATCAAAGTTGTGTGTGGATGTACAGAACAGAGACATGGGCCGCAGCGACGGAGGACTCAGAGGAACGTTCCACCAAATTGTCACCAAATGCCAAAAAACAACACCTGCTTCTTCAGTGCCAGGGTGGAGGAAGGAAGACCTCCACACCCCTCACTTTTACCTCCTCTCTTTGCGCCACCAGAGATGGCACCCCCTCCCTCTCTTTAACCCCTAATTGTTGGTGATCAGACCTGCGCCCAGCTGACACGGAGTGGCGGCTTGACAAACGCAATCATCCGGACAGACAGGGTTGAAGTGGCCGGTGGTTGGCAGCTGCCCCAGCTCCTCAGCTGGGGCCCCAGCCCTGCAGGCCCTCGGGGCGGTTCAACTTGCCACCGGCCGCCACTGACTGGACCAGTCTGGACTGATACGGGCTCGTGGTGGGGTGCTGGTTTAGTGAAGGGGCAGGATGGGGGGCAAGTGCTTGTGAGGTCAAGGCCAGGATTCAAGGAAGGTCTGGGTGGGGGAGGTAGTAGGGCTCTGTGTTCAATCATGGGTGACAGGATTGGTTGGTGGGAGGGGGAGAGGGGGGATGATGAAGATGTGATGTAGCAAATTATCTAAAGGGGTTTTGAAGAGCACGATCTGGAGCCCTTCCAAATGACTAGCCCTGCATTATGTATTCTAATGGCCGAGGCCCCAGGGTGCTGGAGGCCGAGTCGGGGCTGTTGTCAGTGACCAGACCTCCGTTCCCCCCCTGCCAGCCAGCACCAACAACAATGACCCTTCAGACAACAGCCCAGCTCTCCTCCAGCCCTCCTCCGTCTCTGGTGGCGTGGCGTGAATCTGGAGCCATGCGATTATGCAACGCGGTTCGGCTATTGAGAGTCCACTGAGAGCCCTGACAGATAATTGGCCGAGCCCAAAGCCGCGCAAATGGTTAAGTGTCGACTCCAGTTGATTGGATAATGGGTAATTGCACGCTGCATTTCATTCAGTGATATGCTGCGGGTATAGTAGGGGCAAGTGAAGGGGAGGGAAAGAATGGAGGAGGGAAAATATTTTGGCGTGCTGCTTTTTTTTTCTGCAGCCTGTTATTTCACACTTCGAGTCTGTTGCATTTGTTTGGATCTCGCCTGGAGAGATCACAGATTTGTATCAACTGCTGATGCCATTTAAATTGCAAATTACATTTTTTATTGTTAAAGATTTCCATTTTTCCTTTCTCAGTTTCCGAGTTCAGATTTTACAGATCAGGGCAGCGACTGAATGTTGTGCCTAGTGGCGCTGTTTGAGGCTTCCCTCTGACCCTGTGTGAGCTTGTAAGTCCCAAGTCTCTCCTTTGATCATGGCATGTCACCTCTACTTAAGAGCCTGAGCTGCCGGCTCTTTGTCTTTTCCTTCACAGAGGCCTTGACTGTTGTCATGTTGTCTCACATTAAATAGAAGGCTTCACGTTGTACACTAAGAGGAAGCAACACTGGCCTTAAGGTAGCCTGGCCTGGCTCCCCGTTGACTGCACAGGCACGAGTGTAACATTTCCTCTTTAAAAACCCCTCGCCTCACTCGTGTCTCTAATCACAGACCTCTCTGCTCTCCTATAGCTCCTTCCAATAGAATTGTTTTATTTTTTTAAATTTTTTTTATTTTGTGCACTTAAACAGAACCAGCTTTCTGGAGCTAATGTGAAAATTCTTCCCCGGCTGGAATAATACTCAAGCTGCATTATTGCTCTTATAGAGGAGCCCAGTGGGGGGATTGTGCTGGCTGAATTCCACTTCAGTCACTGTATTGATTGTGCTTCCACAGATGTCTTTCTGCCGTCGCCTGGTAAAGTCAGAATGTGCGGTGCTATTCATATCGACTGATGGATTAAGTGGGCAGCTGAAAGGACACGTATGAATTTTGTGTTTGTGTACTTGTGCCTTTTGTTGATATTGATTCCACCTGGGCATGGGTTCACACATGGCACCAGTGTGTTGTGTTTGATTCTTAATGAAGTCCTTTATCACGCTCTAATCAGTTTATTATCACACAGTCCAGTCAAAGCAAACATTTCAATTGGTTACTTACTTACATACTTGCATACAGATAATAACTCTGTGTATAGCAGCAGACCAAAAACAGACACACTGTAAAAAAATCTTTAAGTTTTAGGACAGAGAGGGACGTCTATTCAAACTTGTGCCTGTTTTGTCACACTGGCTTGTTTCCCACATTAAATTAAGGACCATACAGTTTGTGCACAAGCATATATCAGCAAGCATACATCTAATCATTTGAATTTTAGGCCTTAAATAAGATTTTGACATTGATTGTATTAATGAAGTTAAGTTACTTGTATAGTGCTGGTTTTGTCACTCTATTTTAAATGGGTTTTTGAGAAAAATGTGTACTGATCATGCTTAACAACTACAAAATAACATTAAACCAATACTGTCATTCTTTCATATCCTTTGTACTTTGTTTTAGGCAGGTAGTCAATCGGTCTTAAATTGCATTTATAATTGTCTTAACAATGAAATAAGTGAACCTGTTGAAACTTGCAGAAACCCTGATATGTTCAAGTATATATTCTTACTTTAGAGTAAGTCAAGTTCTCTTTTGTGTGACCAGTTGCTCTGTCAGTGGGTAGGTAGTCACATTGTATTTTTGAACTCTGTAGAGGCTTTTCACACTCATTTTGCAGTTGCAAATTGGACATATTTAGACACACTTTCAACAGTGTCTGTGGAATATATCCATGTATTAATTTTGATTTAAAATCTTATTAGTATTAGTATTCTGTCTGTTTGACTTGTAACATTAATGACTAGACCATTACTAGTACTGGTTTATAAAAAGTATATCAATATGAGTGCAGTATCCCTGGGAATTCCTCTCACAGACCTGCCGTTAACATATTTTTACCAGTTATTTGCCCTAACCATACCTCTGTTCAGTTCAATTCAATTTTATTTGTATAGCGCCAATTCATAACAGAAGTTATCTCAGGACACTTTTCAAATAGAGCAGGTCTAGACCGGACTCCTTATAACATTATTTACAGAGACCCAACAGTACCACCATGAGCAAGACCTTGGTGACGGGGGCAAGGAAAAACTGCCTGTTGCCCTGCACAGTAGAACATTTTTGGCTCTCAACATAAAAAACGTGGTCACGGAGCTGATCAGGGGTTTTTCAGAATCGTCTAATACCAACGTTGTGTCTGTCGGCAGAGTTGATCTAAAAGCACAAACTTTAGCAGCTTTAGCAATATGGAGTCCTTCCACTTCAACTTGCTTTGGTACTTTGCTTTAAATTGAGAAATAAACTGTCATATGTAAAGATGAAGTGTTTTGTCAATTAGTTGATGACTGACTTGGAAAAATAATCCATAATAGGGCTGTTACGATATCATATTTTAACTATATGGTTATTGTAACTAAAAGAATTCACAATAACAGTATTATAGCAATATCTATGCAACATTAGAAACTAATAGTAACACTATCAGTCAGTGTATCTGTAACTTTTATTTTGTCTCTTGTTTTGGCAAATTACTATGTTGGTGTGGGAACCATGAAGCAAGAACAGAAAGAAACAAATGATTTAATATTAATGAGATAACATTTCTTTTTCAAATATCAAAGTTATCGTCAATATCAGTATATCTCCATACCCATAATCCATGAACTAATACATGATCGTAAACTTAACACTGTTGGGTACTGTAGATCAAACTACAGCAGTTTGTAAGTATGTGTTTGAAACTGTTTGAATGTGGCTAAAACTATTAAAAAAAAAATGTCCTCGATTTGATTAAAGCTGCAGTAGGTAACTTTTATAAAAATAACATTTTGTCATTGGGTTGACCCATGGCATCTGTAGATATAAAAGACTCATTCTAAGGTAACGAAAAGGTGATTATACACTAATGAAAACATACCTATGAATATTATATTCTATTTCTACCATTAGATCCTCCTAAATGTTACACACTGGACCTTTTAAACGTACATACTTGTATTTCTTGACATAATTCTTTTTTCTATTTAAGGTTGAAAATGATGAATCCAGCTGACCTTAGTGTGACATGGATCTACAGACGGTGGTCTCACTACTTGAGTTCATCTTAGTCAGGCTCCTTTTGGCTTAACCTGGCTAAACTAAACATCAGTGATCATAGATAAACTGTCGCCCAAAGGTTGTGAATCCCAGGGTTTTACAAGACAATATAGAGTTTATTCTCAGGAACAAGAACAACATTTTTTAAGAGAATAATAAGAGATCAGACTAAACCAGAGAAAGTAAGGATGCAGTAAGTAAGTAAGTAAGAATTGGCAAGGTAAAAAGTAAATCTACTCCACTGAGATTAAACCTTAGAACCATAAACTGACAAGTCTAACTGTAGGCTGTTTGAATTTCACACATCACTCTCCTCAGCCCTCTCAGCATTACTTAAGCATGCAAGGAAAAGCATGAACACATGCTTTTACTGTCATTTAGCTTTACAGCGAAGGCTCATCCTGTAGTGATCTCAGCTTGTCATGTAGCACTACGTAGGGTTCCATTCAGTCTGAGGGGGTCTTTTAATTGTGTGAGCCAGCAGAGTGGTTCATCATTAACACAGTGGCCTGAAGTGAAGGAGGAGAGGACGTTTCCCAGCAGGGCCAGGTCAGGTCAAAGGGATTAGCCATGGCACCGGACATCCCCAAATCAACTGATCCTCCCTAACAATGACACGCTGCTTTAATGCCACTAGAAAAGAGCCGAGTGCAGCTCATTGGTTTGTAGAAGCGGAGGATCAAATTGATTTGCTTGTAATTAACCAAACAAAGAGATACATATTTGAACAGATTGTGTTGATTTTTGTGGGCATAATTTTATGCAGTTTTTGATTGTTTGTTTGCACAACAGTTGGTTTTCACTGATAAATGGGACATTATTAGTGTTTAATTTTGCTGAGGTGTCCAGAGCACGTCCAAAAATGCTTATTTTGTTATAGCACGCAGTACACACAAAATTGTCTCTGAATCCCAAAATGGCTACTCGAGCCAGTGTCATCAAGGTCTGACATGATTACATATCCAATACACATGCTTTATTCTCTTTACATATACATTTTAACAGAATGACCCATATTCAGTTTCTGTGCTTTATTGTTAACTAAAACAATTTAAACTTCAAAAAATATTTGATTTCAGTATAGTTAAGTATTTGTTAAGGTTACGGGTAGAATAAGTTAATTTTACCAATTCCATTCAGTTAATTGAACTTAAATAAGTATAATTATATCACAGTCACATGCAGCATTTCTACAAATGTATTGTTTAAATGTATCTAAATAAAGTAAGACATTGTCTTTATACAAAAGTTACCACTTAGGTTGAATTTAAGTTGAATGCAAATTATAAAAAAAAAAAAAAAGTCATGGAAACCTACTGTAGTTATGTCATCAATACTTATACTATACTGCACAAATTTAAGTTCACTAAAACAGTTATTACTTCAAAAATTCATTTTTGAGTTGGGTTTAATTCATGGGATTGACTTCAGATTCTCTGGGGAATTAAGTTATATTATCTTACTTAATTTATTAAACAAAGGTTTTCCAGTGTTACACTAATAACTTGCTTTTGATTAACCGATTAATCTGTAGAGTCTAATAAAGGTCACAATAGATTTCTCAAACATGGGTACAAATGAGAGGTAAAAAAAACACTACACTAAATCACTACAGGTTTCCTTTAATTTTTTCTAACATCAACGATTATTCGATTAAACAATTAGTTGTCAATTCTAACATTAATTAACAATTATTTTGCTAATATAATATTAGTCATTTTTAAATAAAAATATCCAAATTCTCTGACTTCAACTTCTGAAATGTGAATATTTTCTGGTTTCTTTAATCTTAATATATTTGGGTTGTGGACCAAACAAGACATTTGAAGATGGGCTTTGGTAATGTGTTTCACCATTTTATGGACCAAACAACTAATTCATTAATTGAGAAAAAGTTCAGTAGAGTAATCGATAGTGAAAATAGTCCTTAGTGGCAGACCAGATAGATGCAGCGATGGAATGGACGGATGGATGGAGGTCAGGAGAGTGGAGTCTGACAACAGATCAGTGATGAGAGCTCCCTCCCTGCTCAGTTCCCAGCAGCCCACCACTTTCCCTCCCAGCCACAAAGCACCTTCGCCCAGCCTGCTGTGCCCTTGACATGCCAAGGCAGGCGGGCGGGCACATCCCAGGGACAAGCTGCTCGCCGCTGTCTTTAAGACATTCTGATTAGGTTTCGGTGGAGAAAGGCTCGGGGTTGACTTTGTAAAAGAATCTAAATGAGGTGCGAGTGAATGCCGCGGCTGTTCCATTTTAATCTGTGTGTTCGGCTGCTTCTTGAGTGGCTCATTTCCATGCATCACACCGTGGATTCCTCGGTGCTGAGCCCCGGCACATTTAGGGACTTTCTGGTTATGGTTTTAAGCCAAATCAGGGTCAATAACAGCATTTCCTTCAGTAAACAGTATGTCAAATTTTCTCTTTATAAGAAATGTAGCGTACATGTGTTTTTAAAAATCACATCTTTCTAAACTCAGTTGTGGCCCTCTGCGTCCTCCATCCTTTCAACGGCTTCTCATTTAAAGCAGGAATAGAGCCAAAGAGCGACGAGAAGCCACTGCTCATTAACCCCTCAGTACTTCACAATGAATTCTGGAGGCTCATTGTGCCAAAGGGCCAGTGCTTCCCTAACGAGGGCCGAGTGAGGGGGGTGAGGGGCTCCTTTAACATCAGGGCCAGTCCAAGCCTTTTAGATTCCTAAACAGAATTTAATCTCAGTATTAAGTTTGCAAATCTGCTGCTTGGCAGAACAATAGGCAAATACAATGAAACTGCTGTGAAACTAAATGTCCTCTTCATCATTTGCCCTTTATACAAAGTGCAAATAGAACGATTATGTACAACACTCTTAAAACAAGATTCCAACATGTCATTCTTTTCATATTTTTCAGATGTTATGTCTGTAACAAATGAACAATCTAACAATGCAAGAATATTCTCTTTTCTTTCTTTCTTTCTTTCTTTTGTCTGTCATCACACCTTTCCAACATCTGGACCAGTCCATATCACTTAAATTTTTACTTGAGTGTTTTTTTTACACAAGTATCTATAATTCTACATGAGTAAAGAATGTGTGTACTTTTTCCATTTCTGATTATCAGACATAAAAAAATATTAATACAGAGGGTTTGTTCAAAATTTGAATGTGATACAATTACTAATTACCTGTCAGAAAATGTAATCAGTATCCTTATCCAAGTATGACAATATTAAAGTAACTTGTTACTTTTGGACTACCTCCACACCAAATATGCAAATAAGAAAAGAGTAAAGAAATAATGTAGTGTATTCTATACAACAACAGAACTTAAACTTAGAAAATAAAATGGAAACCAAAATACGTCCTTTGGTCTGTATTTTGAAATTGTAATCCTGCTAATAATCCCTAATTTTACTAAGTATAGACTAACTGTCATCTGATTCTCCCCAAGCGTGATCACTGACTTGCATTGCTGTTTAAAAACCTCCAACAGGCAGGACGGACAGGCAGCTTTTGTTTGTCCTTTAACAGCTTGTGTATGTGCTGATTCCAGATCAGCTGAATCCTCTTTGTGTTTTTTTCTTCTTCTCTGCTTTATTGTATGTCCAATTCTTGTAAACATTTTTAATTTGTTGACATTGAAATTTCATTTTATTGAATAAAGTTGTGCGGCTCATTATAATGACTTACGGAATCTTCCATACATCATAGAGCCTAACAGGTAATGTTCTCAGACGTTGTGGGAACGTGGTGTGGCAGCAGGGACACACACTGTCACCCCCCCCGTAAAGAAGAGAAAGCTGCCAGCGCGGGGACGCTTTAATTGGAATTTCATGTGGGCTAAACTGAGGGGAAACTGATGTAAGTTAACATTTGGTAGACTTAATTGGTCCCTTTCTCTCCCTCCTCCTCGATCGGGCACTTAACGGGCCGCTCCCGAGGCTTCCCCGCTAATCTCCCATTTACAATCAATTCAGTCGGCCAGACAAAAAAAGTCCGCCTTTCTCTCTCTTTTCTTCTCTTCCTGTCTCAAACGAACTTCTTTGTGGCCCGTAAATTGCCTGAATCCCCGGCGATCCCCCCGGTGGCGGAGGGAGCGAAAGAAAGATAGTCCTCATGTTGTTGACAGCCGATTAGCGCGCGCTCCCGCTCCTCCCTCCCTCCCCCCCTCCCTCTAATCTCCTGCACCGCGGGGACGCGCCTTTAATTAAAGCTCCAGTTCGTCAATTAACGTGTTTGTGGATGTTGAGGCGGTTGCTCAGATGTTGGAGAGAGAGGTGCACAGAAAAGGGCAACCTGCGCGCCTTTAGCTTGTTTACCACTCCGACATTGTTGTTCATGTCCCGCAGCCCGCAGGCTCCGCACTCTGCTGCGTGTGTGTGTTTGCTGTTTCTCAACACACACACACACACACACGGCGTTGGATAAAAGTGAAAGTGGGAATTGTTGGGTCTCTGTAAATAATTGTATAAGGAATACGGTCTGGACCTGCTCTATTTGTGTCATGAGTTAACTTCTGTTATTATTTCATACAAATAAAATTTAATTGGAAAATTGTATTGAATGGAAGTTAAACCATGTCGATCATTTTGGACCTTCCTTGTCAAGTGGATGGGACTCAAATTATATTAGCTATAAATGTTTTGTCTCTCCTGGATTTTGTGACATTTTCAGAATCATTTTTGGAGGATTGTCTGTCTTAAATGTTGATGATTTTACACCAGCTTTTCAAAAACATTGCAGTGCATATTGTGATGTTTTTAGGCATTTTCTTGTAGGCTATAATTAATTAAAAATCAAAGGCAGCTTGTTCCAGTGAGAATAAAATTGCTTCCAGTTTGGTGACATATAGCTCAATGTTTTGTGTGGGGGGACTGCTGTGATTGGTCAAATATTGTGAAAAGTTGCGGTGATTGGACAAAATAAAAATAAAAGAAGTCATATTTGCTGAAACTTTCACTATATCCTGACAGTAGAACATAATGATCTGTAAAAAAAAATCAGGTTCCTCTGGGTCCTAAAGTGCTCCTAATGACATTTACAAGAATCCACAGCACCTGAGCGAAAACAACCAAGGTTGGAAGCTTGAACATAGTTGATTTTTGTGTCTCAACAATCCGTCTTTCCTGGCATTATCTGTCAGATTATATGTCTCATGTACTACTCTCATAATATAGTGAAAATTTCAATAAATATGACAAAAATATGACAACTAACGTACTTACTTAAAAGAAAACCTACTGCAGCGTTCATTTCTCAGATCTGATTGGTTGTTTTTGTTCGCGACTTCCTGGACAGAATGAACGCTATTTGAATGAAAATGTCCACATAGACACAAACATTGCAGAACTTTGGATGACATGCTCCAGAGGAATGTGTGAAAATGGACAGGGTGTACACCAAGGTCATGTCTTTGGTCCCTTGTGATTTTAGAGGTTTAATGACCTAAGGGAAGAGTGTGGGCCTACATTTTGTATTCTTCACCAAAATTTACAACATCTCCAGTGCATGCTATTATGCTAGCTAACGTATATAGTTTCAACATATAATAAAATAGAGATTGGACGAGCAATCATCACAGGCCTTTAACAAAAAGAAGAAAATAAAAATGTAATGGAATAGTGTTTTATACTTTATTTATAGTTGTATAGCTATCTTATAGATAGCTACTGACTAGTTTACCAAAAAATGTCAAATTGCATCATTTTTAATTTAGTGTGAGTTTTTCTTTAAAAAACAACAACTAAGGCTATCAGCTCTGAAAGGGCCCAGCTCTCTCTAAGCCCCCCCCCCCCACACACACACACACACACACACACACACAGGCCACACTGCCTGCTCCCTGTTTATATTTACACCCCTGACATTTACACACACTCTCTATGTGCAATTCTTTAGCAGATTCCGGTATTTTTGAGGGGATTGCAGCTCTATCCTGGGCCCAATGTTTCTTAAATCCCAGCCAACTGGCAAATGCATCTCATCTTTATCACTTCATCTACCTTGTATCTCCAGATTGATGAGTTGAACAGCCTTGTTGCAGCTTCATTCGTTCAGGTTTAGATGCTTTCAGCTTTTGTTAACTATAAGAGATATTTTAATTTGAATGATTTGCTGCTACAATAACATGCCAGGAACAGTAGCCGACATATTGCCTTTATTTGAAACCTTGCGTCCTTCAGTCTGTTTTATTAAAGTTCGGTGGATTTTCCTTCAGCTGTCTGTGTCTATGGCGCACACTGATGAAATAGGTGAGCAGGGCATTCATCTGGCAATATTAGCACTGCCAGGCTTCTGCAGGCCCGGTCGGCCCGGCTGAGCGCTAATTGGCTGTTAATAGAAAGAGCGCCATTTGGGAGCACGGATCTGCCTCTCGACAGAATGTGTGCAGGGATAATATTGTTCCAGGAGGCGTGAGGAGAATAACTTGTGGTCTATTAAAGCGGAGGCCCAGATGAGGAGCTGCGGCCTGAGTGCTCCATTATCTCCTGTTCTGATGAGCGGCTCCGGATGCGACGGCAGCCCCCCCCCTCTCACCCCCCATTTCCTCATTTAAGCCTCCCCGAGCCGTTTAGCTGGTTAATGTAATTCGCTTTCAAGGGCCCATGTTATCTCTGATCATTTGCGCTATTACGCCGGAGTCAAGTGTAAATGCTGCATTATTAAGATCGTGTCTGTCAATAAATGGTGAAGCAAAGTGGCTGCAGAGCATACAGCGGAGCCAGACTGAGTCTATATGTGGGTTTCTAACAACACTTCAAAATAAAACACCTACAAAGTTTAGCAGACAGATGCCTCTGCAGTAATATGCAGGCTGGGATATATGCCTTAATACTGTTAGTGGACCACATGGAGGGAATCATATTTCAAATGATCCTGTTACTGATGCTGTCATTAGCCTAAAATATGTTTGGTTTTTTAAATGCAGAGTCTATATCTGTGATATGTCTATTTAAACAACTGTAAGCTCATCTGGCACTGTGTGATATAGGCCTATAGGCTAATAGTAGATTAATGGCCCTGAGGTTTAAAACACAGCAACAAATCTAAAAAAACACAAAATAAACCAACAAGACAAAAACAAAATGACATCAAACAAATCAGTTGAACAAATAAGAAAACAATTCACAAAAAACAAATCAAAAATATATTGTAGTGCTTCAGTAAGCAAAAAATCTCACCCTTGAAAACATTTCTAAACTTAGTCAGTACAAGTGTGGTCATATTATTCAGTTTTATTTTCAAATGCCTTCAAAAAATGGAAACCACATGGCTCAAACATTCAGTTTTCATTATAAGTTATAACTTATTTATTCACATTAACATTTTTTTTCTGTGAAATACACAACATGGTAATGATTCACATTTTAAATAACATTCTTTATTCCATAACCTATTATTTACAGTTCCATTGTGGAGACAGATGAGTTATCCCATGTATGTACCTGCAACGCAGGAAAAAAATGTATATGGGCAGAAAAAAATCCCTATAATATTCCTACAGTGTGAAGTGTAAGGTGATGTACCTTCTGGTCTGTTTCTGTATTCCCTACAGTGTCACTGCTGGGATTACCACAGTTCTCTTAAGGGATCGTGCCCAATTTTATTGGACCACACCTTCTCTCTGGACTTTCAAAAACTGCTCAGCGTGGCTACAAATGCAGGACAAAGGCCAGTCTTTCTGAGGCCTTGCAGCTCGAGGTGGAAAATGAAAACTTGCCGTGGGGGGAATTAGCAGCCTGCCTCAGCTCTGCAGCTCTCTGGAGGCCTCTGTGGCCGCAGAGAAGACGTTATCGTGCAGCTTTCTGATGTGTTTCTTCAAGTCAAAGTTGCGGCAGAAGCCCTTGCCACAGGTGGCGCAGGTGAAGGGCTTCTTGTCATTGTGCGTGTGCATGTGGAAGGTCAGGTTGTAGATCTGATGGAAGGCCTTGTTGCAGATGGAGCACTTGTACTGCTTTTCCCCGCTGTGAGTTAGCTTGTGGTTCTTGTAGTTTCCTGGGAAATTGTAAAAAGGGAATAATGCATCAGAGGAAGCAAGGGGTTGATGAAACAGAAACATAACATGTTGTAACATTTATTCTGACCAGCAATTCAAGCAGCAGAATGAAGAAGTCAGAACCAGCTGTTTGGAGCAACTTCCAAACCTTTCAGCACTGAATGTAACCTGAGTGTGAATAACATCACATCGAAACAGGAAAACAACTTCCTGTGACTTCAAGTGTAAATGACATTTCATAACATATACAATTTATTGAGTAAGAATGTGTGAAAATTAATGAAATAATAGCTGACTGAACACAAGTCTCTTTCATCTGTAACACAGAATCAAAATGTGAATTAATAAAGCACTAAACAGAACAGCAGCCTGAGTAATGCCAGCATGGGATAGAACAGGGCTGCCCAAGGTGGGGCCAGGTTAAATGTGGCCCACAAGATATTTATAAAAAAAACAAATTATGAATTTAAAGTAGAAAAATATGTGTTTATGCTGTTTTATTGTTTGTGTAAAAATGCTCCTTAAATATGAAGGGTCCTTATTTATTAATATTATTAATTGGTGGGCAGAGTAAGTCAGACAATTAAGGAAAGATGGGATCCTTGTACCATTTTGCACCTCAATACAATACAATAGTATACAGTACAAAATGTGTTTGCTTTTGGCCCGTGGTCCTCCTTTCAGTTTCAGTTTCAGCCCTCCAAGGGAAATAATGTATGCATGATAAGAAGTCAGCCTTATTTTTCTTGAAATCACTGAAAAACAACAAGCATGTGGATTATTTTAATAATCCCTGTATGCATCCTAGTTTTGTGACTTTGTCTAAAGCCAAAATACATCAGAACAAAAGCAGCTTGATTAAAAAAAACAACTAAATGGAATGGCAGATTGGTGATTTATCCACAGTTGAAATAACTAAGCGAGGGATGATTTCTTACAGTGGTTGAAGGAAAGCAGGAGGGGAAAGTAAGACAGTGTGCTATTTACTGGGAATCTTGCAAGAAACTGAGGATGAAAGAGGCCTCTTTTTTTCCTCCTCTTTTCTCTTCCCTGCCAAGGTCAGCAGTTCATTGTGAAGTTAGAGCCTCCTCAGTCCCTCTGCTCTGCCCAGCCTTCATTAATCAGGGTTTTGTGTGTCGGAGTCAAGAAGTTGTCAAACTTTGTCAGAATCAAGCACAGCGACAACTCAACGAAAGAAAAAAGCCCCCGATTCCTTAACTTTGCCGGGGTCTCGCAGCTGACCCAGAGCAAATGCTGCCGTCTTGAAGGGAGAATTAGTCTGTGTAAAGTGACATGTCCTATTTCCACTGATCGCTTCACACTCATCGGTGGGCCCTGCAATTATTTCCCCTTTCATTACCCTCACAGATAACAGAGAGCAGCAGCATATGGTGCTGCTTCTGCTGCTGATCATATTTGTGTCAGCAGCCGACAAACCCCAAACTCTGAGGATTCCTTCACAGGGAACAAACACTGGTTCCACACAGAGAGGGTTTAATCCAAAGCTCTGCAGGGCTGCACCCTCTCAACAATAACAGAGTGGAAACTGCTTCCTCATGCCAAATGAAGCAGTGAAATGACTGCACATAATACCCTATATTCTCTCAAATCTATGCAGGAAGATAAGACCGCAACTAGTTAGTAGCACCCAGCAACATTGTAGGAAGACACTTATCAAAATAAATGGGCCAAAAATGGCAGGTAATGCCTAAGCTAAATGAGCCACTGTGATTAGTCCTGCAATTTTTATTTTACTAAAAGAAATACGTTTTTTTTTTCACATGTTCTCGGTGCGGGGATTTTCTAAAAACTGTCGTTATATTACAACAGGAGGATGATCGATAGGATAGCAAGAAAGAAAAACGACTCTTGAAAGACGCTGATTAGGGTCGGAAATAGATCAGAACAAAAAGTCACCAAACGGAGATTTTTTTTCTCGTTTTATGAATATTTTTTAGGATGCAGTACGGTCACAGTCCTATTTTTGGAATAGAATACACATTTAATAGCCGACAAAAATCGACTAGAAAAGCCTGTCAGAAGTGTATTTTGAATTCTATTTCTTATTTTTAAAGACGACATCAGGGTGCGTTATTTACCTTTCTGGTGGAACCCTTTCCCGCAGAACTCGCAGACGAACGGTTTGTACCCGGCGTGGATCCGTACGTGAGTGTTGAGCGTGGAGCTTCTGTTAAACGCCTTCCCGCACTGGTTGCATTTGTGAGGCTTTTCCTGAAACATTAAACACGAGTTTAAACCAAAAGTTGAATTTTTAAAGTGGGATAAAGGAAATAAAAAAAATACGTGTGTGCGCAGTGTCTCACCTGCGTGTGGATGATCTTGTGTCTGCACAGCGTGCTGGCCTGCCGGAATCCTTTCCCGCACACTTTGCACACGAAGGGCCGGGCCCCGGTGTGCACCGGCATGTGTCTGGTCAGATTGTAATGAGCGTTAAAAACCTGCGGAGGAGCAGAGGAACACCGGAGATGTTAACGGGAATAATTGTGACTGCAACGGCAGAGATGTTCGAGTGAGAGTGCCTCAGAAATAAATCTGCTCTCATTTATCCTCTGGAATTTAATCACATTTACTAATTGTTTACTTAGTTATTTGTTTTGTAGGGCATTTTTTCGTTTTAATGTCAAACACTGGTAGCCTATACCTTTTATTTTGAAAAATATAATTTACTTTAAAATGTTTCATCTCAATTTTAACATTGATATTCGCATTTAAATATATCTATCTCTCTCTATATATATATATATAGATACACATATATATATATATATATAAACATGTTTTAATAGCCTTACCTTTCCACACACTTCACACGTGAAGTTTTTGGGTTTCCCGTCCGCCGCGCTGCTGCCGCTGCTGCCGAGTTTGCTGTGCGTCTTGACGCCGCTCTTCTCGGCGCTCAGGCCGTGGTTCTCTTTCACTATCTGGTCCAGCTGCCCCGGCAGATGTTCTTTGTGTGGGTACTGAGGTGTGGGCAGCTTGTCGGTGCCCACCCCGGCCAGTTTGGCGTTCTCCAGCAGCAAGAGCCTGTGGTGCGCCGACAGAGAGGCCTGGGCCTGCGGGCTGGAGAACCAGTGTCCGGCCAGCAGCTCCGACTGCTGGTACGCAGAGTCCAGGTAGTTGAGATAGTAGAGCGAGCCGCCGCTGGGCACGGCCACGGCCTGGTGGATGACCTGCGGTTTCACCACCCTGCTCCCCGACGTCAGCAGCGGCTGTTTCATGCCCGGCTCCGCTTTGCCGCACATGCCGCAGTTCCCTTTGCACGGAGCGGCTGCGGAACCGCAAAAAGTCCCCCTGAAACTGGCTCTCCACAGCTCCGAGTAGTTCATCAGCGCCTTGGCTTGGAGGTCGTAGCTGAAGGGCTGCAGCGGGATCATGCAGGGGATCGGGGAGCAGAGCCCGAGCAGCTTCTTCCCCTCTGCCCGCTCCTCCGCGCTCCCCTTCGGCTCCGAGCTCTTGGACATGATCCGGTCTATGGAGAAGGCCAGGGTCTTGGGAGCCGCGGACGGTCCGGTCCTACCGCAGGACATCACCGTCTCCAGAGAGGCAGAACTTGCCATTTTTTCCTGTTGTTGTTGTTTTTATTTTTACAGCAACTTGGTGTGAGCAACTCCCGGTATAGTCCGAACCGCTCCTCCAGCTGCCCCGCGTCCTTTTCACTCTCCTGAGCTCCCAGCAGAAAAGACAAGAGGACACATCAGTTTAATAAGCACCTTGCTGTCACAGTGTCACGCATTTGCATTCAAATGGCCATCCCCCCTGCAACAATAGCATCCAGGGGTGATGGATTAATGCTCATTAACTAGTGCACACAAAATTAACAGGACATTACAGAGCTCGTTAGGGAGGAGGAGGAGGAAGAAGAGGGTAGAGGAGGAAGAAAAGATCAAAATGTTGTAGTCGGCGCTCCGAGAGCATAAAGTTGAGTCTGTGTTGGAGTTTACCTCTTTAATGGTCGGATGGGTGTGGAGAAACCAGCAGACTGCTCTCTGTCACATGTTGGCAGCGCCCGCCCCTCCTCAGCGCGGATCACTTGTCTCCTGACATCAGCGGGCACCCAAACTCTTAACTGGGTGACAGGGAGACGCCCTCATCACCCTGCACGCCCTCAGAAAAAAAATCTACAGAAGGCGCCGACACGGGTTCCATATGTCATCTGCAACATAAATATGAAACCATTTCCCTCTAGAAAATAGGTGAACACATTATCATAATAGTGTTTTCATCATTAAAGACAGAGCTGTGTGTAAGCCTACCGCTTTCATTCGTTAACTACACACTCATCTTTTTTCCACTTCGGGACATTTTTGCAGGAGAAAGCTGCTAATCCTCGGAGATGGGATCCCTCCTTCTTTCCACGCCGGCTTATATACTTACTTACTATTTGTATAAATTCGAGGACGTCCAATTTCCACCTGTTTAAGAGCACAGGCTCCCTTAGGATCCTATTAAACGTTGTTCCTCCATCCCTCCATTCAAAAGAAGCAATTTTCCAGAGCGATTCAAGGCTCAACTGAGCGCAGGGAAGGAGAGAAAAAAACACAAGCTCTTTCACTTTTAGCCACTAAAGCACTGCGTGAACCTGGTTTTGTGTTTTTTTTCTCCCCCCTGAAATAGAGGGACGGATTAAAGAGGGAAAGAGGGAAAAGAAAAGACTTAGCTGGACAGAGGTATACAAGGACAAATGAAAAGAGAGGCTTTTTTTCCTCTCTCTCTCTAAAGAGGCATACAAGAAGTTTGCTGGAATCCACAGTGTTGTGTGGGAGTTACAATGAGCAGCAGCCTCTCTTCTGCTCGCTACAAGCACCGCGTTCAATTCATGTGTTTGCGTTTTACCTGAGGGAGAGGAGGGGAGAGGAGGGAGAGGAGGGAGAGCTCATGCAACGCGCCCGGCAAAGAAGAGGGAGGGCGGGAAATAAAGGGGCAATATGAGGAAATAAAAATCTTCTCATAATGAATATAGCACTGCCTCTATGTAGCTCTGTCATGATGTAACATATTTGTTTTAATGACATTATTATTGGTTCTGAAAATATGTCAGATTGTAATACACACTGTTGGGAAGTAATAATAATGAATTCATTAATTACTCATCACTCCTTTTAAGTAATATTATTGCTTTATTTATTACTCTCTGACAATTAATTGAGACTGACGACGACAAGTAATAATATTACTTTTTGAAAGGGTAATGAGTAATGAAAAAATAAAAATAAAATGAAAAACAAATAAATAAAATACATGTTTTTTTCTTATTTGACAGGAGTTTTCTTTTAGTAGCTAACCCAACACTGGTGACACCTTATGTCAATTATGTGTGGGTTTTTTTTTTACCATTCACATATATCCATGTGGTCATTTTATCATCAATATCAAAATACTGTTATGTCACAGTACAGAAGAGGGTTATCTGAAGTTAGAATTTTGGACCAAAATCCATCTTTTATTAACATTATTAACATTGGATGTCTTCTTAAATCAACATTTATAAATAACTGCTGCCACAGGGATTTTTCACATTCTGGGAACACAAAACTGGTTCTTATTAATGGTTTCTAACTAAAAACAAATGTTTTTACTACTTATAACCTTTAAGGATTATATTATTAAAAAGCAATAGGAAGAAATATCCATGACAGGGAGATTCTTGGAGCCTGTGTTTGAGGTTATATGAATGTCATAATTCAAAATCAACTTCTTCTAGTTTTATGCTGCTATTTGGTCAAATATGTAGATCCCTCAGCAGTCTATTAACGCTGTCAGAACATTTTACTGAAGAGGAACATTGAATGAGACAAATATAGGCCTAGACACACACACACACACATACGGGGTGTGACGTGATCTTACTATAAGGGCACTGTCATGTTTGTTCATCCACAGTCACTTTACAGGCTTAAAACTATCTAAAGTATAGCATCTATTTCTGATTTCTCTCACAATTATTTTTTTATTCTTTATGGGATTTTTTTATCTTTTAAACTCATTTTCCATGTGAATTGTCCCCATGTAAATACCATCTATGTCTTTATTAAGTTACATCAGACTCTTAGAGTGAACTATTCAAATCCAAGGCCTAATGTTTGTTTTTTTTTCCATGTATAGCATCCCATCAAATGGAAATAAACCACCGCTTCTGCATTATTTTATTATAAACACATTTTTATCTTTGAACTTTGCAACCAGAATTGAAAATAATGGTCTGTGAGCTGACATAAAATGCACACACCAGCAGAGTTTCAGGGCGCTATATGCAGTCTGTCTGTTGACCAGTCCGTCAAAGATTTTGTGGGCTCTCACAGCAGCTTTTCTAAAAAGTTGCGATGTTTTTAAGCATTTATTTGCAATGAAAACATTTTTGCAAAAATAGTTGTGATTTTTTTGTGTAATTCATTAAAAGCTAAAGCAGCTTGCTCCAGTTGGAACAAAATTGCTAGTTTGGTGAAGTACAGATCAACATTTTGTGCAGGGGACTGCTATGATTGGTGGAACTCACGGGAAACTACAATGAGAAAAGTTGCAGTGAAAATTGTGCTGAATTCACAGGGACTGGTTGAATTTGCATTAGTCGTGATCTTTCTGGAGAGACTGCTTGAATTAAATGTGTCAGTGTCTCTGTTTATTTCATTCTTAATGCATATTTTGTAGAATGCTTTAGATATTGCAAATATTTCTAGTGAAACGTAACTTTTGTGTTGGTAATATCACAGTTTTGACAGAAAACCAGCCCTGCTGAGCGGAATTCATGATCATGATGGTCCATTCTACACTAGGTGGAGGAAGGTGAAGGTTTACCTCAAGCCTTATAGACTATAGCCATACTTAGCCCAGCATGCTGCCGGACTACAACACTAGTTTTCCTGTTAATAACCTTAAAAAACATCCCTTCTCTGTTTTGTTTCACACCTGCATCTCAGCAGGGAAGGATTAATGCCTGTTGTCTCTGTGCTACTCATATGCAAATAGGGTAAAAATACACTAATTTGAGTTTATTCAGGCACAATTGCCGGCTCATCCACACAATAAACATTCATCCTATTGCTGTAACCCAGGCCCCTCTATTCAGCTCTAACAGCAATTAGCTCACGCATTGATTTAAGGGACTCTTGCTTGTTGCCTGCAGGCATGCAAGGGTCACAAATACTGGCTGGATGTGGCAAACCTGGTTTTAGTTTTCAGTGCTACATGTTTTTTAACAATTAAACAATAACAGTTCCAGATACCACACTTGGAGCCAATGGTTGTAGTTTTTTTACAAGCTTATAGTATGGATCAAGAGTCTTCATTGATCTATCCACAGTAGACCCACAGTCTCTGAGGTCAGTGTGGGTTTTCCAAAAAATAAAAAAGTTGGTCTCATTGTGAAAATCAGTTAACCTTATTCCCTCCAGACCTTGGTTATGCATTGCAATGTGGGATTTTTGTTAGATTGTATGAATTTTTAGGGCATAAATGTTGTTCTCGGAATGCAAACATTTGAATAAAATGTCAGAAAGTAAATATAGTGGACTAGGTAGCAAATAGGGAGTGATTTCAGACACTGCTGTACTCTATACTGCACTGTATTAACATCCAACTACTTCCTGCTAGCACTATATGCTGACTTCAGATTAGGCTGTTTTTCTGTGGGTGGAATTTTTCATCACTCTCTGTAGTCCCCAGGCAGTATTAACCTCTTCAAGATTCATTCAGCTGATAATTGTAGCTTTTCCCACATTTGACGTTTCTTACATACAAGTTTCTAATTAAATAATAAGAGACTGTAATATACTCCCAGCAGCTGCAAAAAGTATAATTCCTGCTTACTGCTTTCTGGAGTCCTCTTGGAGGTTGTGTTCCTGGCTGGTTCCCCACAGTTTATTGGCGGACAGTCTGCGCAGTCACAACAAATGATGCCCAAACAGAGTCTGTGCGTACACCCTGTGATTGTGGAATCTATGTGACACGGACCCCAGTGGCCCCTTACGTACTCACAGAAGCAGAAAGAATAATACATGCTTAAGACTGCACTGTGTGGTGTGACTGGATCCAATCCAGTCCAATCCAACTTTATTTGTTAAGCACTTTAAAAACAACCAAAGTTGAAAGTGCTGTACAGGAGAATAAATAAGACATCATAAATGTAAACAGTGATGGTGATGATGAAGACCACTGTGTGGAATATAGACAGTGATGGCGATAACACTGGAAAGTTCCTGTGGCAGATAACATGGACGAAGTCCGACGGCGATGAGCTCGATGTCCGGGCTGCACACACGCTCTTTCACACAGACGTTCCCGGCGTTACACCACCTGTTGTTTGTGAACAGATAAATGGATGTAGAAATAGAGGTTCTGGAAATGTTTCAGTAGTGGTGGCACAGTGGCAGTATTCATTATTGAATTGAATTCAATTTTATTTGTAAAGGGCAATATCATAACATTAATTATTTCAGGACACTGTTCAAAACTGAGACCCAACAGTTCTCACTATTCACTAAGAAATTCATGGAACACATGTATAGATGTTTTTCCACATAAAACATTCTAACAGGTCACAGTAGGAAATGCTCAGGTGGAAATAATAAAATGAGTGATGGCTGCATTCCATTTAGCTTCTCAGGGGCCTGGTATTGTGCATTCTGGCTCACTGTGAGGCTGCCACGACTTAATACTTGAACAGGATGGAGCCATCATTAGTGATATTAATAACACTTGTGTTTTACCTAAGTTAAGATGTCAAGGATGTGAAAAAGGCCTGTTGCTGGCCTTTATGAGACAGGAACATAATATGTCTACATTTAAAGGCCACTCACAATTGTTTTCACTTGTTTTTGCCTCATTATAACATTATAATTGATACGTACAGACTGTGCTTGATTGACATCTCCCTGTTTCACTTGATAGATTGTTGTTGTTGTTGTTGTTGTTGTTGGGGTGGGACAGATTACACCTTTCC